CTGACCGGCAAAGAAAAGCCGAGGTAATGTTTGAGCAACTTGGCAAATAAAACCTGAGTGAAGACGAAACTCGGCCGTATAGTGTCAACTGGATGGGACCAGGTTGGGCTGATCCACGCTGCATGGGATTCAAAGCTCTTCAGCAGACCCATGACACATGAGCCCATTCCATGAAGAGACGGGTTGACCCAGGATCCAAGGCATATTTAATTCATGGGGTACTAGCTGACTGACCATGTCACCGTGCTCGGCTTCTTGGTAGGTGATGGACCCGACCCAGTAAACTGCATGATGACCGGCAATGAAAAGCCGAGGTAAACTTGGCAAATAAAAATGAGACGGCTGTGGGCTGATCCACAATGCATGGGATTTAGAGCTCTTCAGCTGACCCATGACACATGTTGAGCCCAATCCATGAAGAGATCGGTTGACCTAGGATCCAAGGCATTTTTAGCTATGTCAATTCATGGGGTACACTTCTCAGCCGATGCACATTACCAGTCCTAAGAGAGTCTTGATGGCCGGTCCACCTTTGATGGGGTCAACTGATCCATGGGCTCATCAGCAGGCACCATCAACTATGGTCTGTTTGTATGGTCGGGGGGCTCAGTATTAGTGGGGTAAGGTAACTAATACTTGTGGGCACTGAGCATAAAGAGATGCAGCACATGTTTGTAGGTCTTCTTGTGGGAGTGGTGCAACCTCAGGTCCTGCAAACAGCAAGGGCGGTCATCAATTTTATCTATTACACTCGCCTGCAAGTACATACCACGGAAACCCTGAACGCGCTGCAGGACGCACTGAAGATGTTCCATGAAAATAAGTATGTTTTCATACAACAAGGCATTCGAGAGAACTTCAACATACCAAAGCTTCATCAAATGATTCACTACGTCGAGGGCATCAAGTCACAAGGCTCTGCCGATGGTTTCAACACAGAGTGGTCCGAACAGCTCCACATTGATTTCGCGAAAGATGGTTATTGAGCAAGCAACAAGCGTGACTTTGTGGCACAGATGACAAAGTGGCTTGACCGCCGGGAAGCAACGGAACGATTCAGAGCATACCTCGACTGGCTGTTGCGGCGTGAGGAGTTAGACAACCTGGAAAGCGATGATGAGGAGATTGGTGACAGCTTTGAAGGGACCAGTCACGGGAGTGACATTGACCCCATGGTTGACGACATCAACGACGATGAACCGACATCCAACAACAACCTACCCATCACCCACCATCTTCCAGTCAAGCCCAGTTTCCCCTTAGTCAATCTTGAGGACATCGTCAATCACTTTCATGCAACCGACTTCCTTCCTGCTCTTACAACATTTATTCAACGTCACTTCCCACCTCCTCAACAACCAATCCTCCCCAACCCAACTGATCGATTTGACACCTTCAAACATCTATCCATTCATTTACACAACCTCCCTGCTACGGGGTGCAGCAATATCCTGCAACGCATTCGTGCAGTGCCGTTGATCCCTGGACCTCGGAAAGACTCTGCGGCAAGCTTTGACATCGTTTTGGTTAGGGCTGAGGGTGAAGCCAGGAATGAGGTCACCAAGGGGACCTACTTGGAAGGTGCAGCCACCTTCATCCTTCACAAACATTGTCAGCTCACATTTTCGTTTTCACAGGCCTTCGGGTAGCGCAAGTGCGCATGTTCTTTGCACTCCCAGATCATCTTCGTCACAACCATTCTATTCCCAAGTTCCTTGCTTACATCAAGTGGTTTAACCCTCTCCAAGCTCCTGATCCCGACTCTGGCCTCTATTCCGTTACACGCTCATCTACCCGTGGCCGCCCTGTTGCTGAAATCATTCCCATCTGTGATCTTGTCTCGAGCTGCTACCTCATTCCGAAATTAAGTACATTGATCTGTCCACGTTTTATGAGGATCAGAACTTTCGCTAGCATATGATGTCATGTCTGGTAACTTATCCGTAAATGCTCTAAGATTATGACATCATTGACCAGTTCACATTCATTGTATACTACACATTCTTACATATATTTGAACTTGCTCTATTTTAACCAATCAGACCTACCATAGCTTACCAAGGTTGGCGGCAACCTACAGTCACCTATGGGGAGTACCTTGTCTACATAAACAAGACCAAACTATGAGCTCAGACCACTTTCCTGATGAAGCAGATAACATCTTTTGCCTTATCCAATGCACAAAACTGGGTACTGTGAAGTGCAAAATGCTGTCCCTTGTCATTGATTTGTACATAGGATTGAAGAGAATATTAGCTTTTATTTTTGCAAGCTACTTTTGAAAGACTGAGTTTGTTTCCTGCACCACTGACCTTTCAGAAGGCTTGTACTCTCCTTCAACTATGATTATTTGCTCACAATGAAGCTAAGGTGTAGAGCTCAGTTATTTTATACTTTATTGGTGATAAAGCATGCTATAAATCTCAGAAATAATTTTGGAGCTGACATGAAATTTGTAGAGATGATTTGGGATGCAGGACTTCTTGAGGATGAGGTGTGTTACGAGCCTGTCACACGAGCCTACCCCTTCCTATCAAAATGCACAAGATGTTATAGGGCAGGATCTTGCACGTGAATTTTCTCATTTTTTTGCCTCCGACTTTAAAGTCCACTGATGGGATCTTATCTCCCTCCTGGACAGCACTTGATCCTGCCCTATAACGTTGGGAACGAGACTAGGAATAAAAGATGAAAGGCAGTGCAGGACTTGGCATAAGCACCCACATGAGATGACATCATGTCAACAAAAATGTGTTGGCCAGCACTGAGTACTGAGTACTAGTACTAAGTACTGCGTCCCAGTGGGAAGCGCATCTGCTGAGATCATCTGAGGTGTTAAAATCAGACAGAGCAGACCTCGTCCGAAAAGTGAGAATATTTGAAGAGCAGTCGATTTATGTGCCACAGGTTGGCCACAGGCATTCGTGCTGTCGAACTCCGCCTGAAGCGTCACGCGTCATGGTCCAGCCTAGGCACCAGGTTAGGAATTCAGGATGACATCCCAAGAGAAATCCAGAGAGAAATCGATACAAGCCAAAAATATGTCACCAACATTCCGGGGTGTTCCGGTTTTCGTCACCATGTTTTCGGCCCACAAAGCCTCTATCACGTGTTCAATTCTTTTGGACTCAACTTCCACTTCGACCACTCCACAGCGCTTGATAATGGCACATACCCAGCCACACCTCCGCTAGGCGCTAGCTGATTGACAACACGCTCAGCCCTGAGGCACTGGTATGCAAGACAGGTGTGTGGTCACAGGATAGCTTCCCAAAATACCGGAGGGGGTAGTTCAAAGCACTGGTAAATGCAAGGCTTAAAAATGACATATAAACGATGGGTATGGGGCATATGTGCGCATCGACCCACCTTCTGACTCTCCTCGATTAAGTTATAGATGTTACCTGTTCAAAGGATATTTTCTCTTATCTTTCCCCTCAGCGCCCCCAGTTTTCAAATTAACTGCATCAACTCACATCACATTCACGCACATTCACAATCACAAGCATTCTAAAGAATGGCTCCGAGTCATGTACCGTAGCTATTGACATTGAGGATCACCACATCACAATCCATTTCAAGTCAGACAACCAAGTGCGCAACATCTACGTTCACCCGGACAACGTCGTTTTGACGGACACCATGCGGAGCTGGGCACAGAGGCGTGGCGGCGAGTGTACGTTGCACCAGAACAAATATGAGGCTCGTCGATCGATCGAGTTGTTGTGCCAAGCGCTCAAAGCAAATCGAGCCGGGTGGAATAATTTGACCATGGATCAAGTTATGGCATCAATTTATGATGAGATAGGAATGTCTACTTCTCTGTGGACGAAGATCAAGAGTTGGGTTGCGAGTGTAGCATTGAAGTTGATGCAATTGGGTACGAAACTTGCTATAGGTTACCATACCGCCGGGGCCATAGGATGGTGATGAAATATAACCATATTTACTACAATAGTGAACGTGTACTTTAGAGAATCTCACAAAGTTGTGGGGAAAGATATATATTGTGCAAGTAATATGTATGGAAGAATTAGAAGGGTGTGCTAAAAATAGCTCTCGAAATTTCGGTCATCTGCTACATTGCTGGTATATAGGTGCATTAGCCTCCTAGGTGTAGTATATGCAAGGGCACTGATAAAACCTTTGACTGCTATAGAGATAGAAAAACCGAGGAATTTTTTGAAAGCTCGAGTGAGCTACATACAGTGTATAGGTTCGAAGACGTGTTTCGCGTCGCAGCAAGTAGTCTACATCTCTATAACAATAGTCACATGTCCAATACATCAGCAGTTTAACAGTTTACTTTTTTTAGCTTGTGCAAGTGGCTACAAGTGGAAAAAAGTAGAAAAGCGACAAGACAAAAAGCCCAGTCCAATTTTTATAAAAGTTGAATTTTTTGCTTTACCAAAAAGTTGAAAAAGTGAAAAAAGCTGAGAAAAAGCCAAAGACATCAAAAGAGAAACTAATGTAAGTTAGTATAACAAGCTGATTCAATTCATACTATACTATGCAGTTTTTTCCACCTACGTAGCAGATTACCTGGCATGATTTGGCTATAGAACAGAGGAATTAGTAATGTGAATGAACGGAAGAGACATATGAACGGTACCTCTTGCTAATACTTTACACTCAATCCTTGCTCAGTCCTCCACATGGCCCAAAATTGACAGCAACAGCTGTTTATGGGGAGGCGCAATGCCTGCAACTGATTTGACCGGATGACTAAGTGCACAGCCACACAAATCCTGCCAAATGTCTCGTTTTATCTTCCCAAATAATTTCCTCATGTTCCACTACAATTTCTAGGCTGGTAAAGGCATAGTAAATGTATGTATGTTAGATCACAATGTGAATGTGCGGTAAAATTGAATTGGTGACTATGCTAGGTCATCATAGTCAGAGTCTTGTCAAAGTCATAAAATGAGGCTCGTTTTCTGGCCTTTTATCTGCTGTTTGTAGTCAGATAGTTCATGCTTGAGGTCATATAAAATTTTCCAAATGAAGACACCATGTTTTCCGCTTATTTGAGTAGTAGAGATAATGTAGAGTGGCCCTAATAGTCATTGAGAATGTGTATCATCGACGCGTTGACGCGACGCGACGCCTCCTTCGCGTGATTATGTAATCTAATTTAGCGCGTTTCACAGGCAGTTTTGAAAACAAAATAACTACTTTGCACGGGCAATGGGCCTTACACTTTATAGTAAGACTACACTTTATTTTTGATTGTTCAGGGAATGGCCCGAGAATATCAAAAATAATCTTACTGCTCCCCATAGATCAGGGAGATATCTACACCTCATCATTGACTTGCTTTGGAAATTCTCGGGCCATTCCCTAAAAAACTTGTTTTAGTCCCAATTTTTATATCAATATTTCCGGATATTGTGCTGGGTCACACAGAATATTGATTTTCCTTGATTCTCGTCCATGTATAGGGAGACCAAATAGGTGCAAACACAAATTGATTTCGCAGGCATTGCGCCTCCCCACTGTTTAGAGAAAAGATTGGTACCGACAAACCCAGAGCTGGGACGCAGCCACAACAGAACAGCGCTAGTGACAGATGCGAAGGGGTTTGGAAGAGAATAGAGAGTGATGGGATTAATGTGCTTACCAGATGCAATGACCCACAGAGGGAAGTGCCCAGCTCCAAGTTAGTCCATGAAGAGAGATACGTCAAGGCGGGACAGAGCCAAGATGGAACATGGAGCGTGGACGTTGACGTGGAAGTTGGGAAAGCTTGGGGTGTGATGGATCTTGTTCAACTTGATCAGAGTCTAAAATGAGTGATGATGACACGTCACCGCATCACCATTGACGCCAATGAGCTTCCTTCCTCTTCCTTTCCATCATACGTGCCGACCTCAAAGTATATACTGCTGCTAGCCGCTGCCTGAGGACGCTGCTTCATGCAGTTACATTCTCGATGCTGGCTGCTGAGGCTGAGCTCCCTGGCATGGGCTCAAACTGACATCTGATCTGCTGGACCACAGGTTGTCGTTGCGCATGAATACAATATGTAGCTTGTATATACCAGAATGGGGTCCAGACGGGTCCTAGGAGGAAGACAAAGCTGGATGGGTTTATGTAGATTGTATTTTTCATAATTTCTCAGTTTGTTACATTTTCGGTAGTATAGCTTCTCAGCTTTTTGGCTTCTTTGCTTGTGGCAAGCAGAAAAGCCGCTAAAAGCAGAGAAGTAAATTGTGATCTTGCTGATGTTTTCGGTCGTTTCCGACTTTTTTCTTCCCTCTACCCTTTTGAACAAATTCAGGACTTTCGCTGCTCAGCCACACGGCGCTCAGAGAAGATCAATTCATTTTGAACGATACGGGCGCTTGTTCGCTCATACAAAGCATGAATCTCAGCCACGCGGCCTCTGACAGCTGACTCGAAACACACTTCCCAAGGCAGTGGTACAGTGTATAGCAGGACAAGCGCGTAGCCCTGCATGCATGTTCACAGGATAGCTATTCAGATATCGCGGTGGTCTGAAGCACTGGTAAACCCAAAGCTTCAAAAAATGATACATAAACGATTGGCACGGGGTGCATCCACTCATCAACCCGCACTTCCGACTATCCTCGAGTAAGTTATAGACCTAACCTGTTCAAGAATATTTTTCTCATCTATTCCCTCAGCGCCCACCAGTTTTTTCGATTCACTGCATCGAGCCACTGTTCCCTTACATCACACCCACACACATCCAAAATCACAACGCCATATTCTCAAAAATGGCACCGGGGTCGTGTACCGTAGCTGTAGAGATAGAGGACCACCACATCACGATCCAGTTCAAGTCAGACGACCAAGTGCGCAACATCTACGTGCATCCAGATAACGTCGTTTTAATGTCCAACACGCGGAGTTGGTCCAAGAGGCGTGGTGAGGACTATATGTTACACCAGAACAAATACCAGGCCCGAGTATCGATTGAGCTGTTGTGCCAAGCGCTCAAGGAGGACCGAGCCGCTTGAAAAGATTTGAGTGTGGATAAAGTTATGGCATCGATTTGCGACAAGATAGGCATGGAAACTAACTTGTGGACGAAGATTAAGAGATGGGTTAGTAGTGCTGTATTGAGGTTGATGGAAATAGGTGTGAGACTTGGCATAGCTTACCATACCGGCGGCGTCATAGGATGGCAATGAGGCGTCTTCTTCGTAGAATAATACTTACTACAATACTTAATATGAATCTTAATAGAAAATCTCACAAAGTTGTGGGGAAAGATATATATTGTACGAGTAACAAGGTACTCGGAGGGGATGCTAAAAATAGCTCTCAAAAAATCTGATCGCGAAATCGCTATTCCAGTTTGATTCCAGTCATTCATTCACACCCCATGGAACAGCCCCCAAATACCCCCACCCGTTTCTGTCAACCATTTTTCAGAGCGCGCAGCGTTTAGGAATAACGTTCCTTTCGTTGTCTACAATCCAGGCCTCAGCAAGTTGAAGCTGCACTGTCGAGGTCCCATACATTGAAGATTATGAGACTGGCCATGACAAGATCTGACGATTTTTTTTTGCGGTGAATCCTTATTGTGTCGGCAACGACTTCGTGCGTACCACCCTTTTTTGCGTTGACGCGTCATTGATTCCCGGACATACTTATAGGTACGCGGGTGCCGCTGCGGAGAACATCCCGCGCATATACTATATTATAAACTCGCCGGTGGACAGTCCGTCCATGCATATAGTGTCTTCTACCCAATATTATTTCTGTCTCGAAACCGCCATCAACTTCCTACAGTTGCTACACACTTCAACGCAAAAAGTCCCTTCAGCTACATCTATCGATGGATTGCCAACTACTCCATTACTATACACAGTTCACCACCACAGCCTGTCTTTAGTTTACTGCCTTTTCATCCGCAATACCCTACTCTCATAGAGTGAGTTGCGGCAGCACAGCCAACCATAACGGGGGCAAGTTGGCCATCACAACTTAAAGTGCAAACAAACGCCCCAAGCTCTCGAACCACCATTCCGCGACGATGTCAGACTCGATTTCAAGGTCTATCAATGCAAATATGTACCAAAACTTGGTCATTCTCAGTTTGGCTGACCAAAGGACACAAACAGGAGGATTTCATTTCGGGACTAAGTATGGCCGCGCCCGCGTCACGTATAACTAGCCCATAATTACTTTGAGCATCTCTGGATGAGATTTTGCAAGTCCTCGTCCTTCTCGTACATCATCATGGCACCCTCCCGCCACTGTTCCCATGTTTCTCCTTCGTTTCTCCCTGGAAAAACAGCACGCAGGAGACCCATAAAGTGATTTGGCAGATCTTCAATATCCCCGGAGTCAGCTCCGACACAGTGCGCGAGGCGATGCGCAACACGACCTCCATAGACATGCTCAGCCAAGCCCACTTCGCCTCGCTTCTTAAGAATTGAAGCAAATTCCACCTCTTTGGGGTTGAGCTTATTCGATCCACTGTAGTATAGGCCTACGTCCAGGAGGTAGAGGGGAGCGGCGAAGGCCTCTGATTGGGTGGTAGTCTGAGCCCATTCCCAATCGATGATCCCGACGATACGGAATTCGTCGTCGACGAGGATGTGGTCTCCTTTGTCGTCCATGTGTTTGAGGAAGAATGGCCCCTGTTCATTTTGGGTGATGGACTCTATGACGGAGTCGAGAATGAATCGATGCACTAGATAAGCGTCGATAGCATTGTTGGTGTAGCTCTCTCCTCGAAGGATGAGATCGATTTGATGTTTGATGGACGATGTTCGATACTCGAGAGCGGACTTGAATGGCCCCAGCAATAGCAGATTTCCATTTTCGTCTGCGTCTATTGTGCTTTCATCGAGTACTGGACCGACTGATAGGTCATCAGGATCTAACAAACAGCATATCTCGTTGAATGGGTGCTGCTTCAGATCAGCAAAGACGTCTGCTAGTTGGCTTAGAATGCGTTCCTTGCCGGCTTTTTTAAAATCACAGTTGGAAAGTGGCTTGCCCTCGAGTTTGTCCATTAAAATATAACCGACTCCTACGGGATTAGAGGGAGAATCAATGGAGTAGTCGTGAACCTTGGGTACAGGGATTTGGGTTCGAGAAGATAGGAATTTGTACGTCGCAGCTTCACTAAGGATCAAACGATTTTGGTGCGCAAGAGGTGTAGTCGTCATATTGCGACGGCGGATACGGTAAATCCAAGTGACACCGTCCACAAAGTAGATGGGAATGTGATAATTCATTCCACCCATTACAGAGGGACGACTTTGGTGATCGTATGAGGGTGTAACTGTGCAGTCAACTTTGCGTAAAGCCGCTGCTCGATCACGCAAGGCGCGGAGATTGACTTTTGATAATAATGCAGTTATTTCGGCGATTTCAGCTTCTTTGGATTTGAGCCAGTATTCTCGTTCGTTCACCTAGGAATGATATGAGTTGTGCCTTGACAGGGGTGTGAAGACAGTCACGGACGCACCCGCCAGTCTGGGCAACGGTGAAAATCCTGACCAAGATGTTTAGCGCATAGATGACTGTTGCAAAGGCTGCAAGAGCCATGTCTTCGAACGCCAGGACACAAGCATCCTAAAAAAGTGCACTTGAATAATGGCATGGTTGCTGGAGCAAGTGTTGCAGCGGAAAAGGGGTCGTTGTGGGGTTCATTTCCAACATGTAACACGTGATCACAGTCTATTTTTAACTTCAAGTATGGATATGATCACGTGTTATATCAGTATATAAGTATCCTCGATTCTTCATTCGATCCGTTCACTCTTTCCCTTCGAACCCCATGGCACGTACTCAAAATGTCCTTACCTGTCGCTACTCATTAAAATTCAGAGCGCGCAGCCTCAAGTAACACTCAATCGTTACGCTTGTTGCCAGTGAGCCGTTGACCGGCACCGAGGTCCAATGGAGGATTTCCAAGTTCCAGTCCATATTCAAATCCTGGGAGTTGTTTCTGCGGCGACGTTGGTGAGGACCATTTTTTTCGTTGACGCGATCTCCGCGTATACAGGGCGCCGCCAGTGCAGAGGACATGCCGCGCATATACTCGCAGGTCGACAGTTCGTATCTCTTGGATTTTATTTGTTCGTTATGTGATAATAACCCAGGTTTTTATGCTCTAGGGCTCTTGACTGCGCACGAACCATTGGTTCTTCTGTGGACGCAACGTCCATTTTCGCGCAATTTTCGCGCATATATACACATAAAATCCGCCGCTCGAAATTAAGCCCGACATTCTTCATACGAAATTATGGACCCACTGCGTCGTATGGCCCCGGCGCTTGATATATCCACTTCTGTAATCACCCCGCTCGCGAGTCGCGCATGTAGTGTCTCTTACTCCGTCTTTTTTTTTTTGCCTCGAAATCACCATCAACTTTTTCAATTCAAGTCAGCTCGCCACCAGAGCCTGTCTTTGGCTTACTCTCTTCTCACCCGCGATGCCCGAACAACGATGTTGAGAAATTTTAGGTGAGAAGAGAGTGCGGCCAAGGCGCGGCAACAGAACGGGGCTTGGCGCATCACAAGTACAAACAAACGCCCCAAGCTCTTGAACCACGATTTGGCCTGCTGCAACGACGATGGCAGACTCGATTTCAGAGTCTTCCAATGCAAGTATGTACCAAAATTAGATCACTCTTATGTTGACTGACGACAGCATCCAAGCAGGCGAGCCACTTTACCAAGTCAGACTGCTCGCAGCTCTCCGTGGCGGTATGTCATCCAGTTCCACGCTCACGTACCTGCTCAGCGTGTTTCAGGCGACCCGGCAGCTATACACCCATTCCTCGCAGAGATAGGGAAGGACCGACGCAAGTCGAGTGAGGGTGAGATTGACACAGGGGCAGCAGCGTTGCATTTGGCTGTCAGATGTGCTTCAGGTGAGTCGGTCGGCTTCTTTGGTTTCTGGGACTGATTTTTGTTAGTCCATACCGTTTCCCTGCTACTTTCTCATCGAGCCATATCGCCCAATGGTGTTCATCCCCCTGGTTCCGGCACCACACCTCTGCATCTGGCGGCATCACTTGGAAGAGTGGATGTTGTGAATCTACTATTAGAACAAGAAAATATCGACGATAGTCTGAAGGACGGGCAAGGAAGGACGTGCCGTGAGGTCGCAAGAGGGAAGGAAGTTGTGCGGGCTATTGATGGTATGCACATCGTCCTCCTCATTTACATCCATCTGAATTATTCTAGATTCACGATCTTTCCTCAACGCTTCTTACCGCTCTCTACTGCGGAGTTACACTCTATCACCCCTATCAGAACCACCCTCGCCCTCACTCCTCCAGCTGCTCGACTCTCCGCGGATATCCTTCGTCGACCTGTCCTATCTTGACAACGACACAGGCACGTCTCTACTACACGAAGCCGCACGCCGGAAGGACCTCCGCTTGATCGAGCTGGCAGTACGCGCTGGGGCCGACGTGTTTATCCGGAATCGCAAGGGAAAGATGGCGCATGAGACGGCCGGAAAGGACGATCGTGTCCGCGTGTTCTTACGACAATGTAGGTCCATTCCCGTTGTTGCAACTCACACTAACGCATTTCCAGTTGCAAACCATGATAAAACCCTCCTTCCCAATCCAACACCACCATCTGAGCCACCCTCTCTGAAAGGCTACCTGAACAAGTACACCAACGTCGCAAAAGGTTACAACACGCGCTGGTTCGTGTTAAAGGATGGTGTCTTATCATGTGAGTCTCTTTAGCCTATTTCAGTTTAAATACTGATTTGCTGGCAGATTACCGACACCAAGAAGACGAAAGCATCGCGAGCCGAGGCTCGATCTCCATGAAAACCGCCATACTCAAACCCTCAGAGCGCAACAAATTTGAAGTCCACTCAACTCCTTCACGAGGACACCACCACCACTCAAAATGGTACCTACGAGCCAACCACCCCGTCGAGGCGCACCGGTGGACGGAGGCGATTGGGAAAAGCATCGAATGGGCGAAACAGCGGGGGGAGAGCGGCGAACGGAGAAGGAAGAGCGCGGAGAGTGATTCGAGTGTGGGGATCAAGTCAACGTATTCCAAGGGCGGCGGTACGCTGGGCAAGTACCCAGAGTCGATGATTGGCTCGACGAGCCAGAACGCTCCTCCGCCTGTGGAAGAAGAAGAGGATGACGAGGGAGAAGACTCGTCTTCTGCTGCTGAATCGGACGGCCAGCTGCCACCACACGAAGCCAATTTCGAACTGCATGGAAATGCCGTCGCGGCGCAGATGGAGATGTCCCTCAAACTCCTCTCATCTTCCCCCCCTGCAGTTAAAGAGTCGTTTGGTGCAGTCAGCGAAATGATGACCGAGTTTTGTGCGATGGCGAGGGAGAGGGATGAGTGGTGGCGGAAGCAATTGAGGAAGGAACGAGCTCGGCAGGCGGTGTGGGAGGAGAGTCTTGCGATGGTTGTTAAGGAGGGGGAGACGCTTGAGCAGGAGTTGAGGGTGAGGAGTCGGAAGCGGGGGAGTAGGGTTTTTGCGCCTGGTATGGGAACGGTCAAGAGGCGGCCGTCGTTCTCGAGAAATGGCCCCCTTTTGCTGGAAGAACCTGCGTCGCCTGTTACACCTCAGCTTCCTACTACGCCTGCACGTACCCCGGCGGAACTTCCGGTGGCTTCGCCAAAAGTCCCGATTGTAGTTGCGGACGACTATCTCAACGCGCTGGTCCAAGACGAAGCGGATACAGACGAAGAAGACGAGTTTTTCGACGCCATTGAATCGAACAACTTGCCCAACCTCGTCGTGCATGACGGCTTAGCCAGTCCGTCGACATCAACCATCCTATCCATGCCTATCCCCGTGCATATCAAGATGGAGCCGTATGCGGGGTACGCGAATTTCAGGACGAAGTTGACGTTGAGCGATGAGAGGCCTAGTACGAGTTTGTGGAGTGTGTTGAAGCATAGTATCGGGAAGGATTTGACGAAGATCAGCTTTCCGGTTTTTTTCAATGAGCCGACGAGTATGTTGCAGAGGATGGTGAGTTCTTTGCGAAGCTTTTGGTTGTGGTATACGTGCTGATGGGGTATTTTTTTTTTTCGCAAAGGCGGAGGATATGGAGTTTTCTGAGTGTTGTGAGTACCATAATTCTGTCTCTGAGGAGGTGCAGGTTTTGAATAAGCTTCTCATTGCCAGTGGACATCGCGGCGTCGGAGAAGGATCCGTTACGGAGGATTGCGTTTGTAGCTGCCTTTGCGATGTCCAATTATTCGTCGACTATTGGCAGGATTGCGAAGCCTTTTAACCCCATGCTTGTACGTCACTCGTTTGTTCATTGTACAAAAAATAATGCGTTACAGAGCGAAACGTTCGAATATGTCCGTATAGATAGGAAGTATCGTTATGTATCGGAACAAGTCAGCCATCACCCGCCGATCTCTGCGTGTTGGGCCGAGTCTCCCTCTTGGTTTTACTACGGCGAGGTACGTTCCCTACCCCCTTCTTCCTCCTCCGTCCTTCCTCTGACGTCCCTCGCCCAGGTCGATGCTCAAAACAAGTTCATGGGGAAATCATTCGAGATTAGGCCAACGGGCGTGGCGCATGCTGACCTCTTGCTACCTGAGGCCATGGCACCTGGTTATCCCAAGGCGATTGGGGAGTCGGGGAGGGGCAAGGTTAGGGAACATTATAGTTGGAAGAAGGTTACTACGAACGTTTCGGGGTTTATCCTTGGTTCGCCTACGATTGACCATTATGGGGATATGGTGGTATGTTCTACTTGGCTCTTCTGACTCGACTCCGCGGCTTATCTTGATGATTTTAGATAACGAACCATCGAACGGGCGATCAGTGTATATTGACCTTCAAGCCTCGTGGGTGGCGGGGTAAAGACGCCTACGAAATTATCGGGCAAGTCGTTGATTCAAGTGGAGAAGTCGCCTACGAAATCGCAGGCCGGTGGAACTCGCAGCTCATCGCGAAGCAAGTAGGCGTGGGGAACGGGACTCTCCATCCGGATATTACGCTCTCCCACCCCTCCTCGTCCCCGGAGTACATCCTCCTCTGGCGAAACTCGGATAAACCACCAGGGTCACCATTCAACTTGACACCCTTCGCCATCACACTAAACGACTGTCCTAAATACACGTTGAAACCCTTTATATGCCCGACGGACTGTCGTCTCCGACCTGACCAGCGGGCCTTCGAGTTGGGGAAATACGAAGCTGCCAACGGGCTGAAGCAGGACCAGGAGGAGAAGCAGAGGGCTATAAGAAGAATGAGGGAGGAGGGGAAGTTGGCGCCGCATCGGCCTAGGTGGTTTGTGGCTGAGACGGATGGGGATACGGGGGAGAGGGTTTGGAGTCCGCTTAGGGTTAAGGATGGGGTATTGGAGTATTGGAAGGAACGGGAGAGGGTTTGGGAGGGGGGTGGGGGGGTGCCTTGGAGGGATGTGGGTGATATATTTGTTGAGGAGCCGGAGTTTATTAAGGGGGCGGAGTAAGTGTGGGTGGGATTGTAATTAATTATTGGGGCGTTGTATGGGAGAGATTTTTTTTTTTTTTTTTTTTTTTGTGTCCAATTTAAGTCTATTGGGGCGAAGCCCCATGCCAGACCTTAATCTACCGTAGACTACCTAAGGCCCCGAATGCCTGAAGTTCCTAACCCCCTAAAGCCATCTCTGGCACTGGTGACGGCACGCCCGAAGCGACCAATCCCCCACACAGCCCGGCACGGAAACGCCGTTTAGAGATACACCTTGTTTGGCGGCGGGGTAGTCTCGTCATGTATACTCGACTATGAGTTCCATCCTATAAGTGAAAAGTGATTCGTCTTCTAAGTACCCGGCCGCAAAAGCGACAGGCACAGCGTGATGGGACGAGCACGTAGGAAATAAAGTTCGTAAATGAGTTTGTCTGTCCGCGTGAATGCGCGTATTTGAAGCTGGTTTTCTGAGCATGAGGTTCTTGAGCTTGATGTCCGCAAGCTGAAATGCGGGTAAAGATAAGAGGGGGGTTGTGGGCGTGCCCGCTGGCCCCAAAAGGCCAGCTTTTCTGCGTCTTCCTCGCTCTTGCTATATTCCCTGTAAGTCAAAGCGCTACCTGTCAAACTTCCTCGGATTCCAGGTGAGACACATCACCTATCATGTCACCATGTGTCATCTTAAATCTACCCGTCCGACCCATATACTTGAGCAACTCCTTCACCCCGTCCATATGGGACAGAATGCCTTTCAGATCCCTGGCATGACGACCCAGTGCCCTATCCATGTCGTAACGTTCTGCCGCATATGCCTGACACTCGAAGAGGTAATGGACTACCGTCTCCGTGATCGTCCAAAGCCCGATTCCCCAACACGCATCGCATCGGCTGGTAACCGACTTCTTGATCTTGTATAGGTAGGCGTTCAACGGAATGTGACCTGTCCGAATTTGCATTAGTAGGCTCGCTTGGGACTTCGATAGTCGGTCGCTAATGGCCCGGTATTTGTTGAAAGGAAAGTCGGGGTCGATGTGCTGAAACCTTGCATAGCGTGGAGAAGCCCCCCAGGCTAAGAGCCACCTGGCTTTCAGCTTCTCCGCATGGTCCTGCTTGATTGCCGCTGCACTGTGGGGCAGACGTCTACGTAGCATGGGCGGCAACTCCTCGGGCGGGCTCGAGTCGCCCTGCGCTGCTTTCTTGGCCTCTTCATCAGCCCTTTCGTTACCTTTGACGTCGTTGTGCGCGGCTATCCATCTAAGGGCGAACTTTGCCGGTCCTGTGGGTCCTAAGTTGTCAGTACCATCCCCCATCTCCTCCGTTAGCCTGAGGTACTCCAGGACCAAGTATTGGCCTGGCCCCGCTCTCCTTGTCCCTGTAGCTCTAATGAACGCCTGGTTGTCAGTGTAACAGGTGATTGCCACCGTCCCTACCTCTGGTTGACCCTGTAACATCCATGCCGCAAGGATGGAACCAACCGCCTCGCCTTCAAAGGTGGTATGCTTCTTCAGCGAACCCAGATGTAGCCTCAGCACCTTCTCTGGCTCATCGGAACCCTTCCTATACATGACTGCCGCCGCCCCCACGTTTCCCTCAAACCCAGAACCGTCAGTGTAGATCTTGACGTCCGCTCCATCCGCTGCTTCATCTTTGATTGATTCCTCCTTTGAGCCAGCTATGGTCGTTGTGAAGTTCGTCTTGTACGTAGGCGGGCGGGGTAGTGGGGTAATCGTCTCCACACGGCGAGGCTTGATTTTGAAGTACTCGTTTAGTTTCTGTAGGGGGGCAAGATGAGTCTTTGCTGGGGTTTTACTATACCCTCGTATCATTGCGTGGATGGGGTGACCCTTTGGCAACGTTGCTGCCCGTACAGCTGCTGCGTGGCACACACGCTCGAGTCGCAGATTGACCGGCAAAACTCCAGCATGCGCATCTAGTAGGTCGTTAGGCGATGACCACAGCCCTCCAGTGATCGCCCTCGTCGCTATCCTCTGTACCTTTCCCATCGACTTCAGCGCCCTCACAGACCCGCTGTTGTTCCTCTTGCCCTCCTTCTTGTGCGGAGGTACATACCAGACGTCAAGGGCATACGTCATCTTGGGGACGGCAACCGAGTTGTAGAGTAGTCGCATTAGTCTAGGTCGTACACCTAGGTTAGTACGTGTCAGCCTTCGAAACATGAGAATGTATGAGGTGGCCTTCGCCATCGCTTCATTCTCTTGGATCTTCCAACGCAACTGATTGTCCACATGCACACCAAGGTACTTGTAGCTCAATACATCCTTTATTACCTTTCCCCGCAGTCGGAGCACCGGGTTGGGGGGGTCGGTGGGCTTCCTCGCCTGTGGCTGACAATGCATCACTGCCACCTTGCTTATTTCAAAGTTTGAGTTGTGGTCTTGGGCCCAGTCGAATCCCCCATCCCTTCGCTCCATGTAGTTCTTGAGTGCTCGAGTCGATCCCTTGAGCGTCTTGGCCGTTGCGATGACCAAAGCATCGTCCACATAGCCGATTGCATCTTCGTCCAGACGCCGTAACGCCTCTAGCAAGTCCGCATTGTACAGGATGTACAACAGCATGGAGATGGGGTCTCCCTGGCCTATACCGTTTTCAATATCCATATACCCAGATACAAAGTCGTTGAATTTGAGTCGCGTCTTCCTTCCTGCCAGGAGCCGCTCCACAAACTTGACGTAGACTGTAGGGATCCGTCGCTTCTTCAGGTTGTGAATAAGTCTGTCGGTTACCGCATTTGGGAAGGCGCCCTCCACGTCGAGGAACAACACTGAAGCCACCTTCTTCCGTCCCCACGCCGCCTTGATCTTACCCACCAGGTAGTGAATTGCATCTGTCGTTGTGCGTCCAGGGCGTCCACCGAAGTGTGTGTCCGGCAGCAGGGAGTGTCCCTCCACCAGGTAGGCCACATTCTCTGCAACTATCGCCGTTAGTACCTTGGGGATGGTGCACAGCAAGGCTATGGGGCGATAGGCCTTCGGTACTTCGTAACTTGGTTTGCCTGGCTTTCTGAGCACTGCTGTAGTGAATTCCTGCCAACCTGGATAGTAAGTTTTCAGCGCAAAAACCCCTCGGAACAGATGTAGCAGGTAATCCATCAGTTGATCTAGACACTTCTGAAGCACCACGTTGGGGATTTCGTCCGGACCACTCGCTTTGTAGGGCGACAGTCGCCTGATTTGGCGCTCGATCTGTTCAGGCATAATGGCCGACGGTGGTGGGAGCGGTTCGGGGTAATCATAGTCCTCTGGGACCCTGGAGCGGTCTGGCTTCTTCGGGAAGAATGCTTGTGCCAGCACCCTAGCCTTACCTTCATTCGTGTTGACTTCTTGCATAAGACCGTTCGCGTTGTCGCCAGGTACCTTAAGCGTTGGGATACGTGATTTACCTCCGTCACCTGTGGGCTCCTTAAAGTACTGGTTTGCCGTCCACAGGTCCTGTTCGGCCGCGTTTTCCAGGAAGTCCTCCCAATGCTGCTTCTTCGCCTTCAATATGGCCTCCCCATACGCATTTCTGGCTTTCCGCAGTTCTGTGTGTGAAACGTGATCTGGGAGTGCTCTAAACTTGTACGCAGCGCGACTTAGCTTTTTCAGACTGGTCCTCTGCCTACTGAGGTCGTTGTTCCACCACCTTTTCGAGAAGGGGCAAGGCTTGTTCTCGGGGACCCTAGTGCGGATCGTGTCCTGTAAGGCCTCTGTGAGGTTCGCCGCTGCTTCTTGGAATTGGTGCTCCGTCCTGAGCGGCTGAGGGGAGGGGATTTCGAGCAATCGTATGGCCAGATTTTCCTGGAAATCCTCCCAGTCGACCGCCCTGAAGTTGTAGGACGTCTTGGGAACAACACGCTCCTGTGGCAAATCGATGTAAGTAACTATCGGAAAGTGATCAGTTCCTGGTGGTCTTAGCGTGGGGTCAACCTCGCAGCGGACAATCTGATCATAGGTCTCCTCCGTGCACCAGAAATTGTCGGGGCGCGAGTACTTCTTTGTGACCAGATGTTCCAGCGTCGGCTGGCCCCTGGGCAGGGCCATCTGTAAATTCAGGTCTGCCACGATCTCGATCAGTTTACCCGCATCATCCAGGGCCCTTGGCGTGAAAAGTCGATCGTCGTTCTCATCGTCCCACATGGGATGGTGCCTGTTGAAGTCACCTGCCCACACCAACTGATCACCTGGTCTTGACAGAACATCCGCGCGGTGTTCGCGTATGAACTCGCGTACCATACGCAGATTCCTGGAGTGTGTGCAGTCGTTGTAGATATTGATGATTGTGAGCCTTCCGTACGCGCCTGCCATCTGTATTACCGTGATGTCATTGGTGCCCGGTACATTCATGATCTTCCATGACCTAGTGGCCAGGTCAGAGCTGACCCAAGTTGCTGCCCTCGTGGTCAGTGCGCCGTCCTTGTACCTATCCACTGGAGTGACCGCCACGTAGCCGTTCGGGGTCCTAATGTTGCCCAAAGGCGTGACATGTGGCTCTTGCACCAAGACGACGTCCCATTCCTTCTTTGATATTTTGTTGTACAGATCCAAATGCGCATTTTGAGACTTGTTGAGGTTTATTTGAAGTATTCGTATTCTTGTTGGCGTACGTTCCAGTTGTTCAGACATGAGTAACAACCTGAGGGGTGACACTGTCAACTGGAGTCAAACTATTATCCAAGGAAGGGGGGGCTATGGGGGATTCTGGGTTGGGGAAGTGAGGAGGGGGAGACTTAGCTGCTGATGGGCTCGAGGCCTGACGCGTTCGCGACTCCTTGGTGTACGGTCTCCCACCCGAAGCCGCAGGCGCGAAGTTCAGCTGTGTTTGCTTGTATCTGCTCCTCTGCGATCCTAGAGGGGCAGCCTTGACCTGGATCTCCGCTGGCGACGCCCATCGTGCCTGTGGTGGATAGGATGGCGACCACGTCCATGACTCCTTTGCTGGGAAAAAGGGCAGGTCGTTTGCTGGATCCCTCGCGTTGAGCTCTTCCACCTTCCGGAGGAAAGTCGGGCATCCACGGTCCCAACTGGAATGGTCGTCCGTCTTGCAGGACGTACAGTGAGTAACATCACGTTTCCCGCACTTACTGGTCCAGTGATCCCTGTCCCCACAAGTACCACAGATATTGACTTCCTTGCCAATAATGCACTCAGCAGCGACGTGATCCCATCCCTGGCACTTCAGACACCTGATAGGCTCCTTCCTACACTTTTCTACCGACACTCTCTTGTTGCAAATCGTCAAGCCGTTTGCTATCGCCCGATTGGCCGAGTCCACGTCCGAGAAGGTGGCAATGATGTGCGCGAATCGTTGGTCCGGTCGCCTGCGCATCGGGGGCTTGATCCACCTTATCTTCGTTAGACCTCCCTCCGGTATGTTGTTTACCTCCTCGATTTCCTTTCTGTCTTTGTCGCTGTTGGTGTCTAGGCTTAGAGGCACGTAGTAGGCAACGACGTTGTGAGACCTCGCTTTGAAAGAGGCCTCCGACTCTCCAAGCTCACGCAGGAAGGCCACTGCGTTGGGCTTAGAGGCCAGCCACGCCGCCCCCTCGTCCGTAGCCATCTCCACCAGGACACCCCCATTCTTGATCTTGATGGCCGACCTAATTTTGTGTTTTTGCGCAGTTGCACGCCCCATGGCCTCGGAAAACTTGCTAGCTAGATCAGAGTTAGCACAATCCCTAAGACTCGACCCTCTGGGCAGGTCGATCAGCGACTGGCGTTGCCTGATGCTCTCCTTCGCCGCTAGACGTGGGTTAGCATCCATAGGCGCACCCGAGGATGTCCTGGTCAGAGCGTCCCTGTACGAAATACCACCTGTGTTACCAGCCTGCTGTGCCGCCTTTTCTACCGCCTCTCCCAGCTCCCCAGCCTTCTTTTCCAGATCTGCCGTCTTACCCTCGATTTCCTCCACCAACTTCTCCCTCAATCCCTCCGTAAACTCCCTTAAATCGCTGGCCACCTCGTTGAATTGTGCGCTTGCTATGTCCCTGACAGTCTCTGCTATCGCTTCGTACTCGATCATCTTGAGAAGGTAAGCGACCGCGCGGATTGCGTTGACTGCCGGTCGTCCCACTCCCGCCAGAGCCGAGATGTGGAACAACGTTATCGAGAGCGCGTCCATAGTGAGCGGCGCACCGTCCGGAACCAGAAGCATCTTCTCTTCGAGATAGGCCCTACCCTTCACCGAATCTCCAATTTCCTGATCTTCATCATCCAATACTACCGTGGCTGTCGACCTCGTTTTTCCCCGCTCCTGTGCTTCAATTTCTGCTGATCGACTTTGTCGACCTGCCGTAGGTGTTGGTTTGCCTTTTTGCATTGACGCTGCCTGATTCTTGGTCTTCCCTCCTGACCCAGACATCCTCTGGTCTTTTTTTGTTTTGTTTTGAGTCTTAAAGTAGGTATTTAGCAGTATCTAGACCGGTGGATTCGTTTCGATGTCGACGAGTCGCCCAAAATTTTTGGGGTCCTAGTCGGGGTGCCACGTGGTTCCGGTCCAAGAGCCCATGGGAGAGATTAGAGACGAGTAGGCTGGATAACTTATAGCGAGTGTGGTTGTAATTATTGGGGCGTTGCATGGGAGAGGTTAGAGACGAGCCAGCTGGATAACTCACTGAATACCTCGAAACTTCATTAATTCATTGCTGGGAACCCCCTACGTGGCAGGGAGCTCTTCACTTAATCACCACCTGTATGACAACTACCAAATCGCCGAATTTATCTTCTTAAGAGGGGACTTCATTGAGCTCGTTTTTGTGAGTGGGGGCTGATGAAAAGCCAAAAACGAAACCTAGCACTGGGACAAATATATTTGATGGTTTTGGGACTCTGATTAGCCAGAGTTCACGTATGAAAAATTAGAGTACAGTTCACTGAGGTCTTTCCGAGTTTTTCTAGAGTGAGGCCCGAGGTATAAGGGGTATTTGACAGTCAGTCATACACCGAACAGTACTTCTGTAAAGACCGATAAGAAAAATAACGGTTTTGCGTGAGAAGTGCTAGTGAAGCTTGATACTTAGTTTATAGAGCAATTGGGGGTACTCCCTCCAAGGTCTAGGGTTCACCAGTTGTGTGAATCTGATGGTCGACTCTGACTTTCTCTTGATTCAAAACCTCAAATTCATTCAAAAAAGTTGGATTCCTTTCTCAAGGACTTTGGCGCGGTGGATGTGTCAAGTTTCATACATCAATAAGATCTAGAGGCGAACGTTGCCTGGGGAATGATACATGCAGCAGTGTGAGAGCGTGTCGGGACAGATTCGCTTGCGCATGAGCCGCGACATCGGGATTGGAAGGTTTATATGAATGGTATTGATCTTGAGTGAGTTATGGAAGCTACATTACACCTTAGCGAAAGCCGAGGTTCGGGTGGCTTGTAAGAATGCCATTGGTATCCCCGGGGTCCGAATCAGCTCCACTAATCTCGAATTTCGGGTGGTGCAGTGAATCCTGTGAGAATACCACGGCTCCAGCAATGTGGAAAGGTATTCTCGGGGTCCAAGTCCCTTCCGGAGAAGCTGACCGCAAGGCTCCTCAAGTGATCATAACGTGGTTCAGAAAATATTGAATCGAATTTGTTGGTCAAGTCGCGAATGATATAATCAGGGAATAAACCAAAAGTTATCGCGATTTCCACCGGCGATGAGGTGGATACGCTGTTGAGGATACTCTCCACATCATCCGGTGATAAATTATGGAGCTCTAGGCGACCGAGGCCACCATTGGAAGAAATATTTATAAACGAAGCTGGGAAGTAGTAGCCTATAGAAATCACATCAGGATCTAGCGGAGAAATGGAGTACTTAAGTCACGACTCACGTTTGAATTCCCGCGACAATTCTAACGTCAAGTGGGTCAATTTGTTCCCCTGGGAAGCCAAAAATTGGGAGATTCTTCCAGAATTTTGAAAGTCGGGATCGTAGTTGAGAATAATATCAGAGATCGAATGATCAGGGGTGATGTCTGAGATCCAATCCAAAATTGGCTGGAACCGTCTCCAAAGTATCACCTTTCGCAGTGTCGACGGTGGGCGATGCTGGGGATCACCGTACGACTCGTGAATTTGCACAGAGAGATCTCCAACCTCCAACAAGGGAAGTGAACAGATCAGCTCAACCAGGTCTGTAATCGTTCTGAACTCGCAATGGAGGCAGAGGTTTACCACAGTGCGATAGGACGACACGAAGCCACGCGCTTGCGCAGAGAGAGGATTTTTCCTTAGCACGTATCCACCCTGTTCTTTGAATTTAAGTGAAAAGGTACGGAACGGTACGACCCTCAGCTTGGAGAGCAGTTGGATGAGGAATTCCGACTGCTCTCCGTTTGTGCTGCATTGTGCTCCCTCTGCGATGAGGGATAGTGACTTGACGAAGGGCGTGATGGTCGCGTGCGGAGAGTGGAAGAGGTCACCGAACCGTCCGATACCGCGACCAACAGAGATGGTGATGTTCGAGAATAGGTGGCGGCGTGTGGAGAGGGCCCATTTCCTACTGACGAGGCTGCTCGAGATGAGGGTGGCGGAATCCTTCTGACAGTCATCGAGAAAGAGGTCGACGATCTCCGCAGAAAATGACTGGTTACCATAGGAGGCGATTTCAGACGGCCTCACCATAACTTGAAGTATACTCTTGATTTCGATTTTTGGAAGAGATTTTTTTAGCGTCGGCAGAACTCCAGCTGGATGGTAGATGGTCAATATTTTCAATTTGATGGCGTCTGCTGTGACAAAAAAATTTACGTGTTGAACGTCACCTGAACAAGTGCGGTCACATGACACCGGCTCAAGTTACCCGGTGCCTCATTGCAATTTGCGAGTCGGGAATGGAAGCAGCTTCGTACCTCCACCGCGCAAACCAAAGGAATTATGTATAGCGACTACTCCTAGTCTTTGCCTCTTCAGCACTGTACCAGCGGTCTCAATAAAAGCCAAGTCAAGGCGAAGTGCATGATCTAACAAACGACCCTACTCGTCACTTGTGGAGTCGCGGAATCAAACCGGAAATAAGAAACTTTATCCCACATGACATGCTCCTCGCTTCTAATCTATCTATCTATCTGTTTGTAATTTCACACAGCGACCAAGATATATAATCGCTACGAGTCTGTTTGATCACCGCAGCAACATCCCCTGCCACAAATAAGTACTGCGATGCCTACCACGTTCACAAAGGAATGGAATACGCCTGCGTACAAAGGCAAGACATCTTTTAGTACCGGTCTCTTCATCGATGGCAAGTTTGTCGACGGCTCAAAGGGCACAACGATCGAGTAAGTGCCAGGAGATTTTCATGTTTGCCAGCCACCTTACTGTACCCAAACTGTTATCTTATCGCAGCGTCATCAACCCAGGTTCGTCCCTGTCTTATAGTACCTGTTTTTCTTTCTCAGCCTCTCCTTTCCAGCAAACGGCCAACTCATCACCAAAATCTCTGAGGGCCTTGAGGAGGATGTCGACCTTGCTGTCGCGGCAGCTCAGAAAGCGTTTGACACAACTTGGGGATTGAATGCTTCAGGACCCAAACGCGGCGAGCTTCTCTGGAAGCTTGCACAACTGATGGAGACCCACAAGGAAGAATTGGCAGCGATCGAGGCGTTGGATAACGGTGCGTTTTCTGCCTCCTATTTGAAACAAATCGGAGTTGACAACGAAACACAGGCAAGACTTTCGACTGGGCTCTGGGAGTTGATGTAACGTTCTCGATCAGCGTCATCAAATATTTTGCTGGGTGGTCAGACAAGATCTCTGGACAAACTCTCGAGGTACGTTTCTTAAAGAACCGCTTTTTCGTTCTGCTCATCCCTTGTTGTAGACCGACGAGAAGAAGCTCATATACACGCGCCATGAACCTATTGGTGTCGTCGGACAGATCATTCCTTGTGAGTCTGACTACTCATCTCTTTCCTTCACCCCCATTGACATCTGTTTATCAGGGAATTTCCCTCGTAAGGCCACCCACCCTCTTACGAGGGGCCCCTAACTAATGACCTCTTGCAGTCCTCATGCTGGCCTGGAAAATTGGGCCTGGTATGTCCCGTGCCCCGTACACGTAACTCACTCTGACTTTCAACTTACTAGCTCTCGCAACTGGGAATAGCATTGTCCTGAAGGTAGATTATCTGTCGCTTTCCCCAATGTCTACTCACATTTTTCCCAGCCTTCCGAATTCACTCCCCTGACGGCCATCCGCATGGGCGAGCTCATTCAAGAAGCCGGCTTCCCTCCTGGCTCCGTCAACATTGTCACCGGCTACGGCCCAACCGTAGGCGCCGCAATTTCCTCGCACTTGAAGATTGAGAAAGTCGCATTCACCGGCAGCACCCTCGTCGGGAGGAAGATCATGGAGGCTGCTGCGAAGAGCAATTTGAAAACGGTTACGCTTGAGCTCGGTGGGAAGAGCCCAAACATCATCTTTAATGACGCAGACCTGGAGCAAGCTGTGAATTGGACGGCTCATGGAATTTTGTGCGTGTACCTGCCCTGCCGCCCGGCCCCCATGAGTCTGACTCTTGGAAATCATGCAGCTGGAATCATGGCCAAGCATGCTGCGCCGGAACTCGGATTTTCGTGCAGTCGGGAATCTATGACGAATTCCTTAAGAAGTTGACAGCAAAAGCCCAGGCTATCCGCATTGGAGATCCATTTGGTAAGGACGTTGACCAGGGTCCGCAGGTCTCGCAGATCCAATACGACGTGAGTTGCGTTCTTATAACGATAAATTACGAATACTAACCGCTCTTCGTGCAGCGCGTCATGGGGTACATCGATTCTGGCAAGGTCGAAGGTGCCAAGGTCCACATTGGAGGCGACCGCGTAGGCAACGAAGGGTACTTCATCGCCCCTACCATCTTCACGGAGACAAAACCCGACATGAGGATCGTTAAGGAGGAGATCTTCGGCCCCGTTGGTGTCGTCATCAAGTTCGAGGATGATGAAGACATCATCAAACAAGCCAACGATACTGGTTCGTCTTAGCCTAGAGTCAAAGGGCATTACTGATGCGTCCGGCTAGTCTACGGTCTCGCTGCTGCTGTATTCACCCAGAACATCAACCGCGCCATTGAGACTGCTCACAAGCTCCAAGCTGGTACCGTCTGGGTACGCACACCTCCTCTTGACTTGAGTCTTGCGTCGCTCATAACTCCTGTCTGCCTACAGGTCAACTGCATCAATCAACTCCACGCAAATGTGCCCTTCGGTGGATACAAACAATCCGGTATCGGACGTGAGCTTGGGGAGTATGCTTTGTTGAAGTTAGTGCCTCTCCCTATCCTCTTTTTTTAATCACGTTTTGACTTGATAATGTTAGTTACACGAATGTCAAGGCGGTGCACATAAACCTTGGCCACACTCTGTGAATCTCATGCCGCATTGAACCAGTCTGAAAGAAGTGTATATGTACAATAGTGTAAGAAGTCGTGTAAATGTGATCTTGAATGTATATCTCTGCTCTGTCCCACCCTTCCTCCCTTCAGGTGGTCACGCAGAATGCGAATTGCGATTCAACACGCTTGAAGCCTCTCAAATCCGTATCGGTCCACATTCTCATGACGAACAAAGGCCACCCAGTGCTCGAAAGGTACCCATGTGCAGATTGACAATATACATCGAACCACGAAGCCGCTATACATTGTATGAACAACGAAAAATATTTCATAACAATAGACGGTACGCTCTTCTTGGTGGGGTGTCCAACAGATGAAGATTCCCTACGAAAGATGGCACTGCTTCTGAAACTGGAAGGGCTATTTTCTTCCGTCCAATTGTAAGGTTCTTGAGCTGAAGGAAGTGTGGTCCGAAAAGCATCTCGTTCACCCTTTCACTGCCGACCACTTCATCACCTCTAAAGTGCGGTCCGAGATCAATGTTCAGTTCCGATAGCGTGGCAGACACGCTGTCAAGGGTGCCCTTTAGATGCTCTGGATGTAGGGAGTGAAGTTCCAGAGTATGGAGGCCGGTGTTGCCGGAGATGTCTATGTGTGCCTCTGCAATACAAAAATCAAATCGGATCCAGAAGACAGCAATTCAAGACTCACTTCCAAACGGATTTCTTCGTTTGGGCACGTCCTTTGACTTCAAAGCCAACTCAGTCAGTTTGTTTCCCTGTGACTTGAGAAATTGGGATATCTTTGTTGTATTATCAGCTGTAAGGGCGTAAACGAGGAAGATATCAGAGATTGAATGGTCCGGCGTGATGTTTGAGATCCAATCCAGGACCGGTAAAAGGCCCCTCTCAATTTTAACTTTCTGCAGTGTCGCAGGTGGGCAACGTTCGGGACAGATGCTTGAATCTTCAATTCGAGGGGAAAGATCGACGAATGTTAAGGATGGGAGTGAGCAGACGAGGTCAACCAGCTCTGATAAAGTGCCGAAATCACAGTGGAGAGTGAGGTCCACCACTTGGTGATAAGAGCCAATGATGTCACGCGCAAAGGTCGAAAGAGGCTCAGGAGAACGTTCCTTTGTGGACCCTTCTCCATCTGCAAATTCCAGTGAAAAGGAATGGAATGGAACGACGGCCAGCTTTGACAGTAATTGGACAAGCGATTTCTCTTGGGTACCCGTCTGACGGTTCGCATCCGCTGCGACGATTGACATAGACTTAACAAAGGGCGTGATGGTTGCGTTTGGAGAATGGAAGAGATCTCCGAATTGGAGGATACCGCGACCCATTGAGATGGTGACATCCGAGAAAAGTTGGCGGCGTGTGGCGGAAACCCATTGCTTACATACAAGGCTGCATGAGATGAGAGTGGCACAAGAGGAATCCAAACCCTCGTAGCAATTATCGATAAAGAGGTCGGTGATTTCAGCAGGGAATGAGGGCATCACTATTGAAGACATTTCTGTAGTCTTGGGGTGATGGTTGGATGCGATGGCGCGTGGTTTTCAAATTTGACTCGTTTAGCCACGGTTCAGACACAAGCAAAGGTCATATGACTATAAGGTTTGATCATGCTTTCTGTATTATAAATCGACCATCATTTGTAATACTATAAACGTTCTTGTCATCTTGAACCCTCAGATTCAAGTCTCGCCGCCGTCTGAGCTTCCTTTCCTGCTTCATCGTGAAGGCTTCAGCACAGAACTCTGTCATTTCTTAACGAACTCCTGTCCCGATCTTCTATGAACATTCCACAATACCTGGCTTTGGGCGTCTTTTCGTCATACTTCTTGGTGATTTTCGGGCTTTTCTGGTTGATTTATCAAAGTCTGCCTCCACCGAGCCCAAAGCAACCAAAACTCAAGATTGCAGCATTTACAGCGCTGACGATCGCATCCCTAACCCACACATGGTTCTGTGAGTCACTTTGCGAGTGTATACCACTTCACTTGGTTGAATTTCCACTCAGATATGTTCGAATATATTTCAGTAAGCATCCCGCAGGTTTCCATAGCTACTTAACTCACAAATCTCAGTGGAGTTTTGTTAAATTTGAAAGCCAAAACCTTCACAAGGGCGATATCGTCATAGAGCGCATATCGTCCTGGTTGCTCAATACGTCTCTTTTCGAAGAAGCATGGGCCTCTGTGTGCGTTGGTCCCCTCAATTGGTGGTGGAGCGAACAACTTTGTTTGTTTACCGTTGGCGCTTGGACGGTTTTCCTTGCGACGAAAGGTCAGCTGTGAGCCAGCTTCCTCTCATATGATCTGACTCTGTGATTACAGGACCCCAACATCATGTCAAGCACCTCTGGGCGTATATGCTTCTCGGGCAACTTGTTGCTATTTCAGTTGCCAGTAATCTCTTCTATATAGCTCTTCTTCTCTCTGAACCATCGCCTCTACCAAAAAACTCGCGAGCCAACCCTAGACTCTGGCTCAGCGTGCTCATCTCCCTTTTGAGCGTTGCGACGAGTCCCTTCACGAACGAGCGCACCTTCCTACCAAACCTCTTAGTAATGCATGCGTTACTCTTTTTACCTCTTCTGTGGACGCCGAAATCCCCTTCACGTTTTTCGCTCCATACGAGTATGTTGTACTTGATCATTTTTGTCATTTCAGCTGCCATCCGTGCACGGACCGTCATTGCCGCAACGGTTGTCTCAAACGATTCACCTTTCACAAACGCATGGAATATTCTTCATTCCCATCCTGCTCAATCGTCCATCGGTTGGGATGTGGTTTGGTCTACTCTTTCATTCATCACATGGACCGGCTTGTGCTCCTCTGGCAACAGCCAGCCATCGAACGCTTTTGCGATTCCGTTTATGTTCCTCGCTACTCCCTTGGCTTCCATCGGCATTACGGCGCCTTACGTTCTGATTCTCCAAAGTGTTCGACCCTTCGTGCCGAACACGGAATAAGGTACAGTCCTCCTTTTAATTTCATTCTATATGACCGAAATTATTACGTGCAGAGGTCACCAGTCTTTTGTTTTCTCCCGCAACGACAGTCAGACGTCAGGGGTATATATTTGTAACATGTAACTGGTCGAACTGTGAACAGTGACTATACCATCGTTTGGTCATTCAATTTGAAGATTCAAGAGCGCAGCTGCTGCATGTGATCGATGTCATTTTCGCTCGCGGCTCCATCAGTACTTTCATTTTCTCTCTACAGTTTACTAACCTACCCGTATGTTTTCAGCACAATTATACAACCCTGTCTCCGCACGTCGGAAAGACACCGGGCCGGTTTTAATATCGTCCCCAAGTAGCCCCAAGTCCAATCGATATCAAAATCAAAACCACGAGTCACATCCTATTTCCCCAAGCGGCCTTTTAACATTTTTGACATGTCTGGACTCTGACATACTTAAAGCGGGGTGGAGCTCTCCTGACTCACACCCTCATTTTTCTCATCGCCCCCTTCAAAACGTTACATTTCAGCCACCTTTGAACGATGCTTTCCGCTGGCGCGCTCATCTGGACCTCCTTTCGCCCCCTTTTGCGACTGTAAGTCGCAACGAATTATCACAGCTAATTCGACTGACTCGTTACCCAGCGTGATATGTACCGCCAGCGGGTTCGTCATCACGAAAGCCGACATTTTTCCTGCCGTGGCAGCCAGAGGGATGGGACAAGTCATCTTGAATATTGCGTTTCCATGCTTGATGTTTTCCAAGATTGTCCCAGCGTTTACTTCTCAAAATGTTCACGCCTTAGGTGTGCCTGCGTCTGAATGATTTGGCGCTGAAAATGTATTGCACACATACTCACTTGACGATCGTCTGCTAGGCCCGCTCGTTTTGGTCGCCGTTATCTACGAAGCGTTGGGTATGCTTTTGGCGTGGATAGTTGGTCAGATCTTCTGGGTTCCGCACCAGTTTAGATTTGGTATTTTGGTCGCCGGAGGGTGGGCGAATATTGGAGATATTCGTATGTTTCGTTCCTTCATGGAGTTTACGGCCTGACGCGTGATTTCTTGCGATGTAGCTACGTCCGTAATTATGAGCATTACTGGAGCGGCCCCGTTTCAGGGAACTACCGACCAAACTCTTGCTGTAGCTTACATATCGGCTTTCATCCTTGTCTTTTTGGTGCGGACGCCACTCATCCTCGGTAGCCGATGTTTAGACTTCTCCCATAGGTAACGCTATTTCCACTAGGTGGGCACCACCTCATTGCCATGGATTATGCTGGACTCGATATCGAGCCTGAGGAGGTGCAGCAAGCGATGCGCATCAAACGGCGCGGTTGGGTTAATTTCTGGGTACGGATGATACGCAAAGCATCTTTATCTACTACGCGGATGCGCAGCTCTGACTCGAGCCTGGAAGATACAACCAGAGACTCAGTTAATGGGGATGACGAACAATATTATGAAGAAAAAGATCCTGTCAACCCGGAGCGTCAGTGTCCGGCTGCCCAGCTACATGTTTCTTTCCACGATGACACCACAACCACTGTGCCAACGGAAGTTGGGATCGTGTCACGCATCAGTTCCATTGAACCGACACTTATCGGCGTCGAAACTCAACGCAACCATGTTATCGATACCGAGCTCCATCCAAACAACCAATCTATCCTCCCGACAACGTCAGTAACCACAGTCGACACCGCACTTTCTGAGTCCTTGCCACCACCAAGGAAGAACAGGCGGATCCGCGTTCTTCGAGGAAGCCGCGTCTTAAAATCATTCCTAACCCCACCATCAATCTCAATATTCATTTCTTTTCCCATTGCGCTTATACCTAGACTTAAGGCGTTGTTTGTTGAAGTCCCGGGGACTTATATCCATCCTGGCCCCGATGGTCAACCTCCCCTGGCGTTCATCATGGACACCTGTAATTTCATTGGCGCCGCGTCTGTTCCTCTTGGTCTGATATGCCTGGGGTCCGCTCTTGCCCAGCTTAATGTGTCTTTGAATCGTTGGAAGCATTTACCAGTAGGCGCAATAACTTGGCTGGCAATTGGGAAATTGTTATTGATGCCTGTACTGGGCGTCTTGATTTGCCAAGGGCTAGTCAAGGTCGGCGTTATCGCTGAGGAAGACAAGCTTCTGCGATTTGTTTGCATGTGCGGACGATTTATTTTCCTTTGCAGTGTCGTCATTGACTCTGTCATCTCAGATTTTTCTCGTGCCTTCCGACCGCGACCACTCAGGCAAGTTTGTCGTTATACTTCCGTTGAGGTGACGTTAAATTGTATTTTTAGGTATTCCTGACGCAAGTATACAGCGGTACAGGAAGCGCAGAGCACCTTTCTGCGTTTCTCATTCCCCAGTATTTCCTCATGTTTATCTCTATGACCGCCCTCACGGCGTACACGATTCAACTTCTATTTTAGTTTACATACATCATACGCTCCAGATTTATCGATGGTGCAATAAAATTAGAATTGACTCGGCGTAGAATTTTTGTCCGTAGAGGTACAAAAGGTCTTCCATTGTACCCTCCAATCCTTTAGAAAAGGGCAGTCCATATGAAGTCGGAATTCCCCTAGATGTTTCCTCCATACTTTGAAAAGGGATGTGAGGCAGGACGTGTTAAAAGATTGAATGCTCAGTTACTCGATATCCAAACAGTGTTGCGATTGACCTTGGGAAAGGTTCACAATATTTTGAATTTCGCCAACCAACGCCAGTGCGGAGCGATGTGACCCCGAACCCTCCAAGCATACATAAACGTGTATAACAAACCTCCAACGAATACTGCAATGACACTGACGAGACCTGCCCAACGAAATTCTGAAGGGCGAGCTAGTCCCATAGTCAGAGCGTATTTTGTCATGTCAAATATGTTCTGAAAGCCCAAGATCAGCTATGACGGTCGCTAAACAATGTTCGCATACCTGGAGAATATATTGGAACGATGTCAGTCTATTTTTTCGTGGATGCGACTCAAGTGACTCTTGCAAAATTTGCAATTGAGTGAGATCGAATATCCACAGACCGATCCTAGAAAATGCCATTCCTGCCAGATATCAGCAACCAAGTGCCCGTCTTAGAAATAAAGTTTAGGGCACCTCCAAAAAGCAGAAACGCGTTCCACGTGGGAGTATGAGTTGCACCGATCGGAGCGCCAACGTATAACGCGACGACTACGGGAATGAGGCACACAAATTCGAACCTGGTGCATGAGGCGAGCAAAACTGAAAATCAGATTCCAATAAGATGCCTGTCAACTGACCATATCGACCATGAGCCTGTACGGACAAGTCCCAATTTTGAGGATATAATGGGGAACAACAGAGTCCCGGTCAATCCAGCAACAGTGCAAACCGCACGCTGTCCTGCAATAAATGGGTCAGTGTAATGATGTGCGTCTTTGAGGAAGGTGAGCATCGTTCCATCAAAGGAAAGGACCTGGAATTTTTTTTAAGCTATGACTTTTCGTCTCCATCAGAATGACAGACTGTAAGGTAGATGCTTGCGATGGATAACGATGCTACAAAAGCTTCAGTCCACATTCGAGAGAAACAAAATTCCGAAAAATTCACTATAGAATACTGGTAATTTCCTGAACTCCTCGAAGTCGCAGATAATGTCCCGAGGGTTGATGAAGTTGAGGAGGCGGTGATGCCATGAAGTGGTTCTTGCATCAGCTGGAGCAACTATCGGCGCTGCATCGTTCCGGGCCTCTGATGTGCGGTCCGACCACAGCTCAGGAAATCGATGATATGTTGCGCCAGTGAGGTACATCTAACCGCATGACCCATCTATTAGTAGAAAGGAGAACAACAATCCGGGTACGTACCTCTAGAAAGAAACTCGCCCCGGTCATGCAAACGAGAAATGATGCGGTAAACGAATAGCTGACTCCCGCAGATAGGGCCGAGACGAACAAAGGCGATAAGAGGTCGCAGAGAAGATCCTGGATATTGCGATTAAGGGTAACTGGCTGAAAGGTCATCATACTTACGATACGACGCAGCCAAGTATTTAGCTTGGTTAGACGCTGGGAAGAATCGCTGCCAATAGTAGAGGCCCAGTCACGTTCAATACATATTGTCGAGCAGACTGTGGAAACTTTCAAAATAGCTCCAGAAATGACTACCCCTACGAAAGCGGCAAGGGGCGGGCCAACCAAGTCGGGAGAACCGCGGCCGAGCGGTGTCAAGAAGAAAGCCATGAGCACGGCGTATATAATGCCCATACTGAATTTCTGGCCGACAGTCGCACACCGAATGACAAGGAGGCGATTGTATTTGTCTATGACACCCCCAACGGACCCGGAGAAAAGTATTCCAGAGCCAGTCACGCAGAAGCCGTAGACAGAAGCCGGAAGTAATGTATTGGGAAATATCCGGACGAGGAAGAGGTAGACAGCAAAGTTGATACTTCTTTCCCCCCACGCGCTGCAAAATTCAAGTAAAAAAGAAAGAAAGAAGGAGGTACGTCAGGAACCTACGAGCAAAGGCGGAGCAGGGATAACATAATGAGCCCTTTCGTATCAATTTTGTTAGCGTCCGAATCGACTGGCTGTAGGACATCGCCTCCATCAACAGGTAGCCTGGAGCTCGCGCCAACTTCCAAACGACATTCCTGCGTCAGCGCTTCTGGTTGTTGCATTTGATTGAGGTTTGAAATGGAGTGTAAGTAGAAGTCATTGACATGACAGAAAAAAAGCTCCGACCATATCAATGTTGTTTGTCGCAGCATTTCCTTTAAATTTGTCATCATTCCGGTAGAACGCCATTGCCGGTATCACAGAACCATGACCTCTGCCCAACCTCTGCCAACATTCCCATTGGAAGTTCATGTCGAAATACTCCTCAAAGTGGCTCAAGGTCTCTGAACCTTCGCCTTACGTTCTCCACGTCGAGCTTGCGCGGTTTGTACCATTCTCGTTGTAAAAAACAAACTGTTGACTTGCGAGTAGAGCCCCAGTGAATGCCTTCTCGACCGAGTACGTGTGCAAACGACCTTTGTAGTCTGACTACAGTTTGACTTTGGATTTAAAGGTTCTGGACGGCCTATGGAAAGCTCTTCGACTCTCTTGTAGAAGATGGCGTCGATTGCAGGGCGCTGGTTGTCTCTTCCGCCTTTCCGAAGATTTTCACAGCGGGATTGGATCGTGCGCGTTGCCTCATTGACCCCTCTCTGAACTTCGTTGACACCTCCCATTAGTGAATGATGCCAATTCTCTCGGCGGAAATGGAGTAGACACATCCCGAGATAGTGCCAGAGCTTCGTTCGCCACAAGGAACGAGATGATTCGGTTCCAGCGTGCGGTTGGTGCTCCGGAACGAGCTCCTTTTCCCGTGATTGTCGCCGTCCATGGCCACGTCATAGGGCTGGGCGTTGACATGATTTCGGTGTGCGATATTCGGTATGCAGCTTCTAACTCTTCTTTTGCTATCAAGGTAGAACTACGCATTATTTCCTGCCTTTTCTTTATCGCTCATTCCACTTTCTCTCTAGGAAGTGGACATCGGCCTCGCACCTGACATCGGGTCTCTCGCCTTCTTACCAAAGATAACAGGCAATCACTCTCTCATTCGCGAACTCACATACACCGCCCGAACCTTCTCTGCGGCGGAGGCAGAGAAGATAGGACTCTTGTCAAAGGTGGTTGAAGGGGGCCGCGACGAGGTTGTCAAGGCCGCATTGGAGCTGGCCAAGTTCATTGCGACAAAGAGCCCTGTGGCCGTTTCGGGATCCAAGCATCTCATCACGCACTCCCGGGACCATAGGTTTGTCTTACTCCAATCAGTTAACAGGGTCACTGAAGGAAGTTTGATAGTGTACCAGAGAATCTGGCTTATACTGGTGCTTGGAACGCTGCAGCTCTCATGACTAAGGTGTGCTGACCTGTTTTCCGCATATCATATCGGTTTGATACCTCTGAATAGGATATCTCGGAGAACTTGCGAGCAACAAAGAAAAGGGATGCAGCGCGCTTCGCGGCTTTAAAAATCCCTTCAAAACTCTGACCGGCTTTCAAGTGCTATGCATGTACGGAATATTCATTCGGTTTTGGCATAAGTAATATCATCATGGAGTTCACCGGAGTAACCCTCCCAAAGATGCCACTTTTCTCTCAGCAACATGTGCATGAAAATTCTTCTATGTGAGCTTGGGCATTCAAACACCCGACTACCACTTGTTGACCCCGACTGTGAAAATCAAGCATTGGGCAAATTACGCTGGATATCCCATTTCAGTGCTTGGCCTTCCCCGAGGACTTCTAGGTCCGCCTGTGTTGCTCGCCGTTATCTGCGAACTAGAGTAGATTTCCTACCCTTGTTGGAGCAGGAGGAAACATTCCATATATTAAGGCCTATTGATTCGACGATGATTAGGTCAGCTCATGGTTCTGAAATATGTCAACTTGCTGTGAGCACTCTCCAAAACACGAGCTGTTAATTTCTTTACTAAATTTCAATTGAATAACCCAGGGCCCAGGGCGGATCCCCGTAACCACCACTGGGGCGACGTTTACATGTGGACGTGCAGGTACATTGATACCACATTGATGGTACTGTGGATACGTAGAATCACAAGATTGAGATCGACGCCGATTGACACAATTGGAGGATACTTGGGCTAGCGGTGAAGAGTCGTCTGGAGTTGTAAAATTGGAAATTGGAATGTGATTTTACGACAAGCAAGGCCCTGTTGATCCTGAATCCATCCTCGTCCATTTTTGGCCTCGCCATTCTCCGCTCACCGTCACGCGGAAGTAAATTGTGGGTAGCTTTCCTGCTCTGGCTTCCAATGTACTGGGCCCCGTTTTACACAGATTAAAACCCGTCGCAGGACTTTCATTATAAAATCCCCATTAGGAGAATGGGGAAGTTGTAGGTAATTTCGTACCCCAGATCCTCCGCAATTCGATGATGCCCGTGACAGCCGTGATAAACCTTCTGAATCGACTTCTACGCCCCATGTGAACATCTTCACATGGCGAAGGTAAATACTTGAGTCGCCATATAAACCCCCTTTCAGCAATTCGCTTCAACATTTACGTCTGGACGTCGTCGCTGTGCCCCATAATGTCTGCCCCCGAGGTTCAACTTCCCAACCCCTTCACGCCGATGGCTTTCTTGCCACCAGACTTGGCGTTTCACTTGACGGTCTGCACACATATCGTTGTAGGAACAACTGCGGTTCGTTGGACTCTTTGAATGCCTATGACTTATCTTACTCCTTATCAAAGGTCATAATCTGGGATATAATCAATAACCTTTCAGGGGATTACAGACTCCTCTTCAAGCACAAAATTGGTCCGGCAACCATTGCATATATCATTTCAAGGTAGATTCTTTTTTTTGCTCTTCACATTTCTAGTCCAATTGAAGATCGTCCAGGATTAGTACCCTTATATTCGTCCTCTCGACGTCTATTTTTCTCAGTATGTACTTCACTTGACTTTTCCAGTAGTCCGATGTTTACATTCGCCGTCAGCATTGCCCACCGGAAATTGCACAAAATTCGATAAAATATTGGACGCATTTTTTCCGGTCTCCGTCCCTGCCTCTTCCCTTCTTTTCTTTTTCCGAATGCGGGCCGTTTTTGCTGGAAACAATTTGATGGTTGCTTCCGCTTTCTTCCTTTGGCTCGTGTCATTCGCGGGAACGATGACGGTGGCGTTTGGGGTAGAAGGTATCAACATCGGTCCAACAAATTATTGTGTCGTATCGTCCGCCAAGTCCTACATCGCGTTATCTGGGATACTTCCATTCGTCCACGATACATTCGTCCTCTTATCGATTTCCTGGAAGATGATGATGAACACGTATGAGGACAATTCGCTCAAAAATGGGTTTAGGACGGTAGTCTTTGGCGATTACTTGCCCGCTTTTTCAAGGGCATTGCTGCAGGATGGCCAAATGTATTATCTGTGAGTTCAGCTCGCCATCATACTTGAACGTCGCTGATTCGTTTTTTCGTTCAGTGTAACGGTCTGTAGCAATTTGCTCGCCGTCGTCATGGTTTATATGCCCGTTCCCATTGTTTATCGCACGGTTTTTAGTTGCCCCAACACCGTGTTGATGAACATCATGGCATGCCGTGTTTATAGGAACACGAAATTCGGTCTCTACAAGAATTCGGTGGCCTTGTCGACGAGCAGATACACCTCGGAGGACCGTAGCGGTCCTACTATCCCCCTCGCATTCCGGAACGTTGCTTATTCGTCGAAAGAGTCGCACACGCGCCCGTCTTCGTCTGGTCATGGCATTGAGGTTACCAAGACCGTGCACCACGAATATGATATATCCGCAAAGAAGATGCGAATTACGAATGACAATTTCTAGAAATACAGTACTTATATCTGTAGTACTAAGCAGTGTATCTTTTATCGTAAATGAAACCAAATGTTTGCAACTTGAAGTTGAATCGAGAGCTACCAATATACTACATCGAAGTCGGAAAAATAGGAGGATGTGGGCGGGTAGATACAAGTGGGATTACTGAGCTGTACAGATCTAGATAGGGGTTGTAGGATTCCAATAGTATACGTTATACCAATGAAGTGGAAAGAGGGACGGCCTATAAAAGGATATATCTACATAATTGCTTCAAAATGAAGCTCAAAAGCGAAGACTTGACCAAGAAGCGTATAAGCATCGATTGTTCGATGGGATCATTGAAGATTTACCAGTCGTGACTCCACATTTAAATGCCACCATAGGGCGTGAAGTTGGGAAGGGGTATTGAACCGGACGGTCGTGACGTCACGGTGTCCTTGTCACAAGCGTTACCCTTGTTCGAGGATGAATCAAGGAAGGATAAGGCCCACATGGTTGACCCCTCATGTTGCATACTGGGGTTCAAGGAGCCATCGAGGCTCGTGGTTTTGGGAGAAGCAGAAAGGGAGGGTGTCGGTTCTTGTGGGTTCGATGTGGTCGCAGGCCGTTCGGTTAGTTGTGGGGGTCGAAGCGGCATAGTAATCGGACAATCCAAGTTGAACGAAGCCAGAGTAGAGGCAACATCGGTTGTGATCGTTCCTTTGGACAACCTTTGGGGCAGTAATGAGAGAGATGCGGGCTCTTCGCTTAGAGGTGTGCCGCATGGAAGAGATCGTGCAGATGGAGGCGACGTATCGAGCTCTGCAGGAGCAGGTACACCCAGGTCTACAGATGGAAGAGGTGCGCCGAATTCTGCAGGTAGAGGTGCGGAATCCGTAGGAGGGAGAAGTGTACCAAATTGTGGAGATGGAAGATCAGAATGCATAGATGATGGAGGCGCGTTACAGTTTGCTAACGGGAGAGGTGCATCAATAGATCGACTTTGATGGCCCAACGTGGGTGAACCTTGAACAATTATCGCCTGATCCTGTTGAATGGCGGCTCCAGTGAGCGGCACAATTGAAGGCATACCCAAACTAGGCAATTCTTCAGCCTGGTCGGTTGTCTTGCTTTGGAGCAAGTTCTCGGAGCCATCTGGGATGCTGAGTGTAGAAAACGCGGAAGCCAGTTGCAAACTGGCTCCCCCCGAATTCGAGACATAAACGGGGTGGCTCATACTCAACGTGGGTGGTACAGGAGGGTTGGTTGGTTGAGATGGTTCCCCAACGACGGCTAAGACTCCGACAGCATGCAAACCAAGCACCAGGGCCCGGGTCATGTCGTCATCACATAAACACTCCGGTGAGAATTGGTTCAGTTCTGTAGAGTATTCTGAGTCAACTCCGCCGGCCACTACTGGAAGAATAAATTCACCTTCGTCTATCTCGTTTTCTTGTTGTTCGGTGTCGCTGACGCTTGTAAGGGTGGATGTGGGTGTTCCAAAGTCGAATGATGAAGGAAGGTCGTCATCACGGATAGAAGGTTTACGACGCGGGGGAAGACGTGAACCATCGCCAATGTATAGCCGTCGTTCCTTTCCTCGGCTGGCTTTCTTATCTGGTGATGCTGGGTGGAGATCCGTGACCACAGGCTTCCTTCCAAGACCCCAAGAGCGCTGAATAGCCCCTACGAACTCCCGCTTCCTGACGGGCTGAGACAAAGGGAGTTCACGAGCGAAAACAACAGACTCATCACCATGAGCACCAATGAATCCAGTCGCAACCTTCTCACCGCTCAGGCTGTACACTGCACCCCAGTACTCGACTGGACCGGTAATGGTATGTGTCGCACGGGGTAGCTTGGGTACGTCCGCCTCGCTGGGTTTCTTGACGCGGGCGGAGGCCAAAGGCGGGAGGTTCGTTTTGCCCCCAAGATGTATACGAGGATGCTTCGCCGTAGCTGTGCTGAGCGAGGCTTCCGGTGCTGGGGTTTTAACATAGGTGTCGCCACGTTTCACGCAACAAAGATCGCAATTACAAAATTTTGAGCAATAAGGGCACTGAGCCTCAAACTGAGACGTGAAGATGATCTCGGGATACCTACGATTCCATCAGCAGAAAAACTGTACCATAGATTTGAAGACCTTACCGGGATGAGATACAACGATTACAAAATTCTTTTTTGCAGGTACATTTCATCCGACGCCTGAAAGTTTTGGTGCGACATTGATGGCAATAAGCCTCTGTACTGACACGCTCCCATTGAAACCCTCTGGGGGCGGGCCTTAAGTTTGGCATCTTCATTGCTGATAGATTGACCACTGGCCTCGACAGGGCGCTAGTTCCTGGTTGTGAACAAGGTAGGTTTCCGCTGTTTCCAAGATTGGGCTGGTGCCTTTGAATACGTTTAGTCCTCGGACCCTCTACACGAGCAGAAGAAGCTGAGTTGTCTCCTTGAAAGTCGCTACCGGAATCGGAGCTGTGTGTTGACGGCTCTAGTTCCTCAAACGCTGCTGCATCGCTGCAAGGTGATGGGGGACCTTCGGCCTCCATCTTAACGTCCAATTCTTCGTGCAACGTTGCTGCCTCCTCTCCTTGCAGCAATGTTGGGTCGATAGTATCAAATTCGTACTGCTTTTCAAGCATCAAACTCGCCCAAGGCACGGCCGATTCATCCCGCTGCATTTCATTACTAGGAAGATCCAAATGGTCAAACGGGGAGTTATGGGTAGAATTGTTAAGCAGTGGGCTTTCATCATGATGGCTAGGGTCGACAATGGGTAGCAGCGTGCTTGGGAGACCAAACATTGTAAACGAATCCTCAGGCGCATCGTGGGTGAAAGACGACAACAGCGCATTCTGAGCCTTCGGGTCGCTGTACGCGGTGAATGTAAACTTGGTCCATGAGGGGATACTTCTCCCCTCAGGAGATTGCATACCCAAGGTCGGCGCCTGCATGGCTCCGAATCCATTCATATAGGGATGCAAGTGAACGTTAGCAGTGGGATCTGATGGCCCAGAGGCAGGAGTGGTCGACGTCCCTTTCTTCGAAGGAACCAAACGTTCCTTTGGGGTAGAGAGTCGCATAGGATCAGATGCCCTACGGTTTGAGGTCGGAGAACGCTGTTGGGAATGAAATCGTGGAGCAGGTGAAGGAGGGAATGCCACGCTAGGAGAAACCCAGTCGGACGGGATTTGCGGAGGGTCAGCGGGTTGCAGATCTTGTTGGGTAAGGGTAAGGGTTGTCAAGTGTTTGGTCAAGGAAAAGTTCCGCGCAGGAGGTTTCTTCCGAGGAGATGAAGGACTGACAGCCTTTCGTTTCCCTAGAGCTTTTGCAGACGGTTTCACTGCTTTCTCTTCCACTCCGCTCTCTGTAAGGCCACCCGCTGGGACTGTCGATGACCTGCCAGGGCCCCGTTGTGGACCCGCTTCCGACCTCTGAGCCAACGCCTTGATCGGATTGAGCGGTAGCGTGTGCTGCGATTGAGGTCCAGGCTGCTCCGCACACGTGATGCTAGGCAACCTCGTACCATGGCGATTGCGAGCTCGGTTATCGAACAGTTCCTTTCCCTTCTCCTTCTTCTGTAGGTGTCCCACACCATTGACCTTCGGTGCCAAACTATCCGAATCCTTGTCCTCTAGCACCTCCTCTTCATCACTCCAATCTTCCATCCTCACTGACCTGCCAACCGATATCCCTCCATCGAGCTCAACCAACTCTCCCGAATCCCCCACCTCGTAAACTGGATTTCGCGGCATGTGCCAAACAAACCACTTGTCTCCTTGTCCCCCTTTTTCTCCCTTCGACTTGCTTTTCCGACCTGGCTTTCCCGTAATCGTGGCACGATCCACCCCAACCCTCTCGCCCAAGTGCCTGATATTCATGGCCAGGACAGGCGCAGGAACAACTTTGACCCGATCCCAAAGCATGCGCACCACGTCCTCCTCGGCGTTGTACTTCGTGTATCCGTATCGCCCAATACGTTCAATCGTCGTCCCCACATGCACAACATCAGCTCCGGAACCAACTTCGCTCAAATCAGAGGTCGACTTCCAACCCGTAGGCTTGAACTTCTTCTTCGGCCTCACATCCACATCCCGCCTTTCATCCGCTGCTACCTCGTGCTTTCGATGATGAAGATCTTGCTCAGAGGTATGCTTGCGTTTCGCCCCCGCTACATGCATCTTTGACGAGCCAGCGACGTCTCTCCTACCCACGTGCTCTATGTTTTTGTGCTTGTCCGTTCTCGGTTTTGATGATTGCGTCCTACCAAGCCCTAACTCGGGTATCACTCCACTGTTCGCATTATGATCCAGCGAAGTATTCAATGCATGCTCGAGCGACCTATGCACTTGCACGTCCACTCGAGAGCGCTTCTGCTTGACGTTCTCCTTGAACAAGGGCTTATAATCTGCCTTTCGGACGCCCTTTGGAAGATGCGGGACGCGGACATGGGACATCCAGACCCTCTTTTTTGATTGTATGTTTCTTATTTCTATCGTTTCCACTGCTGGCAGATGAATAGAAGGGCATGATGGGGCCTCAGGTGGCGGGGTGGGGGTGAACAACCTATCCACGGATGGAATTGCCTGTGACGGGGATAGACGGCGGTTGTCCGGTGGAGGGGTAAAGAGTGGGGAATCCGATCGATACTGTTCCGATGTCTCCATTGCCGTTCTACTGGTAGTTGGATGAGGGGTAAGTTGGACTGGAGGAAGCTGGGACATGTCAAATGCTTCAGCAACCACAGGTATGTATGTATGGAGACGCAAGACTTACCGTAATCTGCCCAGCATCTGTACCGCCATTAGCGATCACGGCTTCCGAGCCTGCCTTTGGAGGAGCAGGTATTGCAGTCGGACGAGGCACATACACACTAGATATATCGAACGCCTGCTTCGAATAGGCGGATGGGGCGATCTGCAGAGCAGATCAGCGATATCAAGATAACGGTTCCTCCGTGTTACTCACGTCAGTCGAGCCAGAAGGGACGTCAGACTGAGCCGTGGCTACGTCATTGTCGGGATTCTTGGAATGTTCCTACGTAACTTATCAGACAAAAATCGTGCCACAACCCAATGAATAGCATACCTTGTCCCCTTTTCGCTTCTGTTTCTTTTCCGGCACCTGCACTCTGGACACAGCTTGCATTCCGGGTCGTTCCCCCCTGTAATGCTGGTGGTTTGGGTTCGACTGCGGGGCTGCCCACGTAGAAGTCGATGTTGACGCATGTCGAGCTTGCTGCTCTTTTGGCCTCGTGACACCATGCGGCACATATGGCTTTGTTTGCTGTACATTACGCCGCTCTGGATGGTTGGAGTTTGTTCCCTGAACAACGGTCAGTAAGTAGTGAACACACTATAAGGGCTACTCACGCTTAGACTATTGATAGCATTAGCTAGGTCAGCTGCGAACGGAGATACACTTGTGTTCGGGAGCGCGAACGCCTGAGGCGCGGGAGCCGAGTAAACCCCATCTCTTTTCATTGCATCTCTTCGGTGCTGTTCCAACGTTTTTCGACCAGTATTGGCACGGGGTCGCGTTTGTGATGGTGCCGGATTAGCGGGATTGATTTTGTTCGTTGCCCCCTGATTTGAATCCGCCTGTTTGGAATGCCGATATTTGCCGTTTGAAAGCACCTTCGTCGGCACTGGGGTAGACGATTGCGGTAATGGGGTTGGCCAAGATGAGAAATTGAACGGCGGCTCAGAATGCGGTGTCTGAGCGAAAGTCAGTCGAGTACAGCTAGTCAAATTTAAGGTTATACTGACGTGTTGTTCCCTCGCCTTTGACTGAGCGGGTTGTGGACCAGAAGCGTACCCATTCGTCGTTGCTGCCCGTGTCAATGAGGCCGGCAGGGGCTCTTGAAGAGGCGGAATCACATATGGCTGTGTCGGCCCAGCATAGTTCGTTGCATTCAACTCTGAGTTAGATGGAGCCACATAGGTTTGTGTCGGCCCAGTGTATGTTGTGCCATTCGTTTGTGTTGGCTCAGCATATGTCGCGCCACCATTTGAAAGAGGCGGAATCACGTAAGACTGCGTCGGCTGATAAAATTTCGATGTGGCTTGGACTCCGGAGGCGTTGTAAGGCTACCGAGAGGTGTGAGCACAATCCCGACAAATGAGGACGACGTCACTCACAATGGCCGTGACATGAGAATCAAAGAGCCCTTGAGCTGTTAAAGGAGTCTTATCAACCCTTCCCATTCCTCTGACCTTGTTGAGCAGTCAGAACCAGGATAAAGCATAACCTCAAACACCGCAACTGACCTCGTTGCGCACTGCACCAGACCCATCGTCTCCTATCAACGAAGCTACATCCCTAGCACCGTATGTCGTATCCATCCTTGACGCGTCGTGAAGCGTTCCTTGTGCATCCTGAGCCGTGTTTTCTGCAGATTGCGCGTTGGCAGGTGGTAAAAGTTTTCCATAAGAGGTTTTTGATGTCTGATGTTGCTTGGAATCGGTGTCTCTGGAATTCGATTGTCCTCCATCCCAATTGCCGAGCGTATAGCTAGTCATCGGTTATACTGATGCCCGAGAAATTCAAGCCATACAAGTATTGAGTCAAGGGGTACAGTAGGTAAAACCTGTAATTTGCGCCTCGGGCGTGGAAACAAAACAAAACCCAACACAGTGACACGAGGTCATACATGTCAACCCCTGTTTTCACAACACTTTGAATTCCGTCTTTTGGAGTAACTACGCTGCAATTAAAAGGATATAAGGTGCTACTGGGGTCAGACTAATTTTTGGAAGAGTGTCGGAATAAAAGAATTGACGATAAAAACATACGCTTGCTCCGTAAAACCTCAAACTCTACCAACTAGTACTAAGGGAGTCCTTTCGAAGACAAAATTGGTATAGTTATCAAGATGGATGGGAAGGCGGTTTATAAACTAAAACGACAGACCAAAACGAGGCCAGAGTTTGTAAAATTGAAGACGTTCCATACAAAATCGCAAGAACGGAGCCCCAAAACACAAAAGGCTGCTGGCGTTTGCTTTTACGCACATCTCGTATCAAAGAGGGCAGCCAAGAGCGGCGATATCGAATAAGTTTCTCAAGAGAATAGACTCGACGCATCAAAACCTTGTTGATTCCGCAAATCAGAAAAAATTCTATCAATCTCAAGTGGAAGAAGTTATGATACCTGGGGCTGGCATTCCCTATTGCGTAAAAAGTCTTCTCGGCGTATGACTTCGTTCCACGTCCAATTTGGCCCCAGTCCGAGTGCCTCTGCTTCCATCCTGTACCGGTCCCGACCGTAAAGTACATAAAGAGAGTGTAAGATCTCGGACCCCAACGTTTCTACGCCAAACGCCCTAAAAGCGAGACTCGGGTCACCAGAAAACGAAAAAGAAATGTAAAAAACTTACCGAGCAATCAAGTTATTGTTATAACTCGCCAGGCTAATCGCATCGACAGGGCTAAGTCTCAAAACCTTCAATTTCTTCCCGTCTAGCTGAAAATGTTCCCTGATGTTCTCCGTTGGTATTACTTCTATATCGACCTCAACGAGATGTTTAAGTGTGATATTGAAAGAACGTTGGAATCCGGGACAGGGAAGGCCAAAGAAGGAGTGGATTTGGGTTTTTAAACTCTGACTTCCAATTACCATCGAGTGATCGAAGAGCAGAGACAACCAGAGAAGACGCCATGCTTGAAGTCTCTATAAAGAGAATAAAATTGATTGACAAAACGCATCGGATTGTATTATTGACCTACTTTGACGGTGTCGTCCCCAGTCTCGGATAACCTCAGAGCATTCACAAGCTGCGCAATCGTTTCACCTCCCCCCATCCCCTGAACAAATTGCGAGAGACGCCTCATCTGTTCTAAGAAGTCGGCAACAATTGGTGCTTGAGACCCGTCCCTGAGTTTCCACCGAACATAGTCACGATCATAACCTAGTATACCACGACTGGCGGCATTAGATCCAAATAAAGATGTATTGAGGTCGTTCAGGTCGTCTTCCGTCAGGATGTGTTTTCCTTCTTTCATCTTCAATATTATTTTTTTGAGCTGACCTACGTAAACGTAGGATTGTTCGGGCGTTCGCGTAAATGTTGGATCTTGAAGTTCATCAAGGACGATGTCGCTTGTATCTTCGGGAATGCATTTTTTGAACTTTGGGAATATGAAATTTGGACGTAGAACGTACCAGCGGCCGGATTGGCGCCATCGCCAGCTTGACCTTGCGGGGCGCTGCAATCAGTGGTTAGACATCTAACATTTTCAATTCCGAGTTCAACGACCCACAGTGGGACCTCAAGATTAGCTGTAATGGCACAGTCAACGACGGTGTCGTTGAAGAGCCTTGCGACATCATCGGAGAGGGCAGGATGGCCACTGCTGTGTTGCTCGTTGATGATAGTGGTACCAAAAACGGTCTCCCCAGCAAAACTCTGACTGTTCACGTAATGGTGGGTGTGGCTATGCTGGCTCTCATCGTGGTAGTTTTCCACATTTGTAGTGCGCGGGGAGGGATGGTGCAAGTTAGAGTGTGAGATCGTGTTGTTGTGCAGGTGCTGGCTCTGATCATGGTAGTTTCTTACATTCGTAGTGCTCGGAGAGGGATGGTGCCCGAAGTAGTCTGAAGGTGGTGAGATCGTGAGCTCTGCCATCGTGAAGGGGAAGGTCCGATCCAGGCCAGGTGAATGAAAGTTCTCTCGAACTTATACGAGGGGACATCTTCAAACTGTCAGGAAGGAGGTCCCTCAGTGCTGTCAAGATGCTGTGTTGCTGCCTTAGCAATGTCAGAACGGAGCACAGGAAGAGCACGGCCACCGTCTTCTGAACCCAATGACACCTGGGCTCGGCGTGGACGTTTGCAGAGGCCGTTTGAAGGTACTTAACATGAGAAGATAGCCAAAAACTTGAAATCAGAAATCGCGACGCCAAACAACAGGCTTTGTTTACGTAATGATTCTAGTAATGAATGTTTGAACACCCTCTTGCGGCGAAGGTTCCTGGCAGATCCTATGCTGATAAGTAAGCGCCTGCACCTCATTGTATATTCCACCAACGTCTTGAAATCCATACTAATGCCCATATACAGATCTGGACCGCAAAGCCCCTCCACAACTGGTCTAGAAGACTCCATGGATGGTCGTGGAGGACACAGCGACGGGGTGAGCATATGATCTTACTAGATAGATTGAACTCTGGGTTGAACGAAGCAGACAGGCGAATCAACGGCTCCCCGCTACTGTGCGTCCAGCTCACCTCAGGCTACATCAATGTTTACACAGCTATTGGACTAATTTCTTGCGAATTCCATCAATTAGTATATTACCGTCCTTACACAAAGGACGGCGCAATCAAGTCCCTCAACCCCATCTACTCCAACGATCCGTTCATTAGCCGCGTTTTGCCAAAGTCCATCACGCCCCCTCATACCGCCCTATCACTGAAGAAACATCTGTGCAAGATCGAAGGCGTGGCAGGATCAAACGCCATTTTATTCGAAGCGCTGTCGGATGATGCTGCCATTCCAGATTCCACGCGTCTCAAGCTCCGTGGTCATCTTGGCTTAGGCGTGTTGTCTCGCGAGCCCATGGCTTTGGTCGTCGGGGCTGCTGAAGTTGAGAAACGATCAAGCGGCCCTGATCCACAGGCGAAGGAACTAAGCGAAAACCCTGACCCACACGAGACGCACTACAGTATGCCTAACATTCTGATCGTCATTCTCGGCCCTCGTTTCTTATCATTTTTAGTATATTACCGTGTATACGATGAAGACGGCGAAGTGAACTCGAAAACAACCTTCGACAGAAATGATACCTCCTTGGGTCGCGTAGACACCTTATCCGTGGCGCCACCTTACACCGTGGCCTCCTTGAAATCCCGCATCGCGAAAGCCGAAGACATCGTAGACCGGGCGATCCAATTGTTCGAGGACACCGATGGTGAAACCCTCATGAAGGACGCTGACCGGGCATCCTTTCTCGCAGAGACCTTTCCGGGTTGCCTTGAAGATGACCCGTTAGCCTTCATCTACGGGCCAAAAATCCCGGGCCAAGGATCAATGACGAGGCCGATTCGAGCAAATATCGATTGCAGTGAGTAAAATTGTCAAAGACTCGCCCCGCCGTATTCTTATGCTTGTCATTCTGTCATTCAAGGTCCCAATCCCCAGAGCATTTCCACCTGGCATGCCCACTACGTAGGAGAGGTTCTCCACACTGACGGAGTCAAGGTAACAAAAACTTACATTATGCCCGGGGGTCCAACAGGTATTGTATTTTCACGTTCTCTCTTCTTTCTAGTCATATCTCTCCTTCAAAGGCAGCTGGAACGGTTACATGGCAATAAACTCGGCTGGAAAACTGGCATGTGAGTAATCAATATCTCTTCACTCAATTTAGAGGTTTTGAAGTGACTTTTAACGACTAGTCGTGATAGCCGGTAAGCCGAATTTTCTTGATATGCACCTTTCGCTCGTCACCTAACCGGCTGCGTATCTGTTTAAAAGATCGATTCACTTTCTGTTGATCATCCGATCATTCTCCCATAGCGGTTATGTTTTTTTGGCTAGCTGGATATCTATGTATGCTTTCATCGTTGACGCCAAATTGACGCGATACCTTCCAAATTAGCAAATCCGTTTCGTAAATCACGGTATTATTCAGTCGGTTTTACTTCTATCGCTGTTATGAAATTGCGACTTCAACGTTCAACGTTCAACGCTAATGATTGACTTGGCCCCTGGGCAAAGTTCTGCAATCACTGCTTGCGTGAGTCTCATTTTATTTATTTATCACTTTACTCAAAATTTGATATGGATAGAATAACCTTATACGATGCAGCTTGAGCGCTACTTTGATCTCTGTGATTCAGTTGATTATAAACGGGATTGGCGTCGGCTGACCTTTGTGCTTCTATGTGGAGTAATCTTGATTTCAGTGCCACTCGTCCTGCTAGCCATGAAGCTTTGAGCTTTAACGCTCGGTCCTGCTGGTCGTGCCCGGAGGTGAAAGACCAGTCAATATTAGTGTCCATCAGAAAGAGATTTTTTTTTTAGGTTGACAGATACCCTGGTACCAGAACGAACTGCTTAGATGTTAACTAATGCAACAACTGAATCATGAATGCAGTTTGTATGGATTACAAAGAGCACAGTACCGACCGATCCAATCAGAGTTCCATGAGTCTCAACGTTTGGTTGGAACGGCAATCTACTCGAGTACATATATATCAGACCCGGGCGGGGTTCATTTGGTGTGGAATGATGTAGAACTACAGGAAAGAAATTGTAAAACCAGGTTAGAGTGAACTTGAGTTGTGGTTTGTATAAAGAAGTTTCACCAGTCATTATATCTGCTTGACACGGCCTAGAAGGCAGTCTCCAGTTATTCAGAATTTTTTTCTTAACAATACAACCACTCACAGGACAACACAACTTTGACCAGAAATGTGTCAAATGTTCAAATTGGTGTAAATATTTTGGTTACTCACATCCGTGTTTACCAGCAGAGTTTGTCGCCATGTACCCTTCGTAGCTGTCTGTTGAATAAAACCAGGTAAGCGTCCTATGCTACGTTAGAAGTTGTTGCAGGGCGACATACTATTTTTATAATCTTTCTTCGTAACCTTGATTCCATCTGAGAATAAAATTTCGCCCTTGACTATTGGCAGCCAAACAGGAGCATCGACTGAATATGCTAGACGGGGAATGAGGGAGGGATACAAAGATTTTGAGGTAATGACTTGCCAAAGGTAGCGTCGGTTATGAGTTTAATTTGCGTCTCAACTTCCGGAGGCTTAGATGCCGGCAATGAGTCCACGCAATTCAGGCAAATGAAGGCCATTGGTTCATCTGCTGTGGAACCTGGGTGCTGATCTGTAAAAAGAGCTATAGTGTCTGAATCGCTCATAGGGCTGTCACCGCTCAGGTCCTCAAATAGTTGTAAATGTTTGCCCCCAAAGCCCTCAAACTCAGCGAGTCGCGCTTTCAAAGATGAGATGTTGAAGGGCGGTGCGACGGAAAGAGAATTTATGCGTCCCAAGGCAGGATCATCTTCATCGAAAGACGTCTTCGAGGTGGTTTCGCCCTCCTTGTTGTAATAGCGGTAGTAAACTAAAATGCGATAAGGCGATCATGAACAGGAAGTGGTTCCAGCGACACTCTACCGTAATTGATGATGTTGGCTAGTGGATTCTCAGGAAGTCCTGCTGGTGTTTGAGGTCCACCGGTCGACCGTTTTTCAACATTCTTGATGAGCAGAACCATAGGCTCCTTCTCAGATGAGCCTGGACCATGACGGTTCATGAGAGCAAGACGAGAAGAATTATCCAGGATCGTTTGGCTTAGAAGTGACGAATACAGATGAGCGTTCTCCGATCCCGAAAAGCCCTCGATCTTGCATAGGTGACTTTTAAGAGAAGCGGCGGTATGGGGAGGTGTGACGGCTTTTGACAAGATACGGCCGATGAAGCGATCATTGGAGTAGGCGGGGCTTCTCGATTCAATCGCGCCGTCTTCCTGATAGGGGCGATAGTAAACTGTAGGGAGATCGCTTGAGAATGTGATGGCAAAGCAACTCATCTGACATACGATAACGGGGCCCGGGGGCACTGGCAGGTCCCTCCTGCACCCGAAGGTAAGGACGAATTTATTTCTGGGAAAATGATTGCACTCACTCCTCCTCGACCATCCGATAAACTTGATTCCGTAGGGTGTGAGCGAGCAGGCGAAAAAGCGCTCATCGTTCGACCTCTCTCCACTTGAACGCTCGTCACTACAAGTTATGGTGAAGGAACTCCACTAACTTGCGACGGTGACCTGAGGCGCCCATAATGATATCCTGTGATGTCAAAATCTGATCAGGTGAGAGGTCCGATTGGCCGAACCACAGTTGTCCGCCATTTGCTCCAAATGGAAATCTTGATGATGAACCGTAGAATCTTGGTGCCTCCGCAAGATATAACTGTACAGCCCAGGCCGCCTGAGGTGCTGCCGTGTCTGGTTTGAAGAGAATCCCAATGTCCTTCATGTTTTCTCTTGAGGTTTTTCCTGAACCACCCGCCAGATTTACTTTCTTAAAATTTTGAAAAAATGCCGTCCTTGAAAGTGCCGTTTGCTACTTCGAAGGTGTTTTGATAAGTGTCGAACGTACGTTGAACAGCGTGCGATTTTTATTCGGACCACAACAACTCCCCATAACCACCACTTTCTCGGTCTCTCAATATAACTACAAACGTATACGATGCTTTTCCAGCGGCAAGCGCACTGCAAACAGGCACCAACGAATAATCCAAACGCCACAACAGAGGCGCCCACTCCATAATCGCCCCGCTTAACACTACTATCAATCAGCGCCACGCATGATGCACACGACTAGCAGTGTTGCGCAAGAACCACCGACGTCTCCGCACGTAGCTTCGTTGGATGGTAGAGGGTCAGAAGATATCTCTCCACAGAGAAAAGGTCCAGCGAAAGCGATCCGTTATCGTGCGCTGAGTGTTGACTTTTGCAATTCATTCATTCACTGACAGGCGGCCAGTATACTACCGTCTTTACACGAAGGATGGAGCCATCGAATCGTACAACCACATCTGCTCAAACGACCGATCCATAGGACGAATCCTTACCAAGGCTGTCGCACCGCCCCATACTGTCTCGTCCCTCAAGAGGTATCTCTGCAAGATCGAGGGTCTCTCTCAGGCTGGCGCCGAAAACTCGGATCTATACGACACACTCTCGAGCCAGTCTGCTATGATGCCGGATTCCACTCGGATTTCGCTCTTGGGACATTCGGGAATAGGTTCATCTGTGGACGACCCAGCGGTTTTGGTCACTGGGAATGAAAACTTTGAAAAGCGAGCAGGAAACACAGACGTATCGAAAGACCTACCTGAAACACATACAAAGGATACACGCCATGGTACGTGCGATAACCTTTTTCGTTGCTGAACGTCCTGATGTTGATCTAGTCTACTACCGTGTCTACGACGACATGGGTGAAATAACGTCAAAGACACACTTCGACAAAGACGACCTATCGCTAGGACGAGTTGACGTGCTCTCTATTGCGCCGCCACGCACCATTTCATCCTTGATGTTTCGTCTGTTGAAAGCAGAGGACTTTCTTGGTGATGACGTTCAGCTATTCGAAGACATGGGGAGTGATTCTCCTATGGACGACACCGACGTCTTGACCTTTCTTGGCGACGATTATCCAGGAAGCATTGAAGACCAGCCTATGGCCATTGTGCACAAGAAAAGGGCAGTCATAACGTCGCCACCCAAGCCTACAGCATTTATAAAAAAAATCAAGGCAAATAAAACACACAGTCAGTGGTACAGTGCGCTTATTGCGCCAGCTTGATGATGAGCTTATTTCCAGGTTTCGGGTATTACCCAAACTGGCTTCCCATTTCGACTGGCGAAGTATTTTTCACAGATGGGATTGCAATTCAACACCGTGGCTTTCTAGGTGCGGCTCGATTGTGGACTTATTTGGAGCCCATTTCTGACTTGTCACTCAGGTGATCCGCACTGCTTCACGGGATACATGGCGACCAACTCGGCGGGTAGGAAAGGCTGTGAGTATTTGTCAAGGTCTCTCCCTGATATAATCTCTTACCATACATTTCGCCAGTCGTCGCAAATTGTGAGTGATTCATCTGTTCTAAAATAATTCAATAACATTGTAATGAATACTTCGCTCTATTAGTTGCTTCAGAATTTTGTTAATATACCCCTTCTGTCGCCGTTTCTGTCAATGATGGGCCCGTCGCCGTTTAAAGGTGCCGCGGACGGCTCATATGAGGACAAGTCTGTCATTAAAAACCTTTTCAGTGACTGTACTGCATCGGCGGAAGTAATAAGATCTCAAGGGCTACTCCTCGGGTTGATAGTGAGTCGTTCGATAGTCATATAGAGCCTCAGCTCGCAGTTCCACACACTCCACCTTTTGCAAAAGGTAGAGGCCTCGTTCACCACCCTTACTTCCCACCAAAAATCACCAAGAACGTCCGGTCCATCTCCTTTGATGGTAAACCGCTCTCATCCTGTATATCTATCGGACGGCCTGGACTCCGACTATTTGGAATTTGGACTTGCGGAGTCGATAATTAAGTAGTTGGAGGGTACGATCCCAAACGACCCAAGCGTTGTTTTAGCTTGCCACCACTTGCCTTCGCCATTTATAATGTCAAAGATGTCTCCTTTTTTGAAGGATAATTCATGGGGATCATCAGGCGAGGCTTGATAGTCGTATAGAGCCCGTGCCTGCATGACAGGCGTATGCTGCACGGGAGTTCAGATACTTCTATGACTTTGCCCCAAAGGCTCCAAGAAAACACACCTTTTCCGGTGGATGAATGAGTGCCATTGGCCGGGATTCAGACCTTCCAGTGAGTCGGTCTTCAAGGAAGAAGTGATCGTCCTCCTCCTTTATCAGAACTTGACCGGTAATATCCTCGAACAACTTCATTGCAGTCCTCTGAGCTTTATCGATCCATTCAGCACCAGCAAGGCGGTTTTTCAGAGTCGCGATGGTGTGGGGAGGGGGGATAGAAGCAATCAAGATTCGGCCTAATGAATTATCGGCTGTGTTGAAATTTTCAAACGATTCGACCTCTCCGTCCTCGTCGTACACTCGATAATACACTAATTCCACCACGAGTGAATGGCTTATCAAGTATCCAGTACCAAATTCACTCACGGTAGGGTTCATCCAATGGCTTAATCAATTCCGTCATCTCACTCTCCGCAGCGAGCAAGTTGCATACTCTACTCGCCTTCGTATCCGGTGGATCGATGACGAGCGCCATTGGCTCAGTCTCTGATAGGCCAGGTCCAGGATCTCCAAAGACGGAAAGAAGGGTTGAGCCATCCATCGGAGATTGACTCGACACAGAAGCAAATAGCTCGCTCTTCGCCACACCTGTAAAGCCCTCAACTTTCAACACACATCGTGTAAAAGAGGTAACGGTATGAGGAGGCGTGATGGACTTGGCAGAGATACGGCCGAGATAATCGTCGTTTTTATAAACGGTTGTGTTAACCTCGATAGGGCCATCCGGGGTATAGAGTCGATAATATACTGTTGTTCCAGAAGTGTTGGGCAAAAACTGATTGCTCGCAGAGAGGAAAGGGAGGACGCACAGTAACGATTTAGATCAAGCGGACTCTCTGCCATGGCTATCTCGTTCCTCTCTATCCGCAAGGTAAAATGCAAGCAAAGACAAGAAACGACTCAGAGATATGCGCGTCGATTGAGCGGATCTACGTCGAAAACTTGGCTTTTGAAGTAAAGGATCAAAGGCTGTGCATTTCGAATTCCCATGAGCACTCAAACACAAACGGGCGCTTTGCGGGCGCTGAAGATTTATTAGAGGATACTCATAGTACATCACAACCCCCGCTGGTTGTCTGGTGGTAGAAGACGAAATGCAAAATCAGCTAAATTTTTATCGCAGCTACATAAGATCAAGCTAAGATATCGGCTAAGTAATACTTACCTCCCATTTAACAACCTTAACATTTCCTCAAAGTCCTTCAGCCTGAGGCGACTAATATGGAGCGTGTTCTTGAAATCACGATAATGATTCGTGGATTCCCTGCGAGAACTACGTCATCTCAGAGTCTAATTCGCCCTCGTTCAAAGTCGGAGAGAGCCTCATGACAAACGCGTCAGTACGAAGCGATCTGGTTCTGGTGGGAGAGGGACCAAAGGGACTGGAATTAACAACCACGTCACACGAAGTTATCTTATCTCAATGTCAACTGTCTGTAACCAATGTGCATGCTTCCCTTGTTTCTTCCCAATTCCCCCTCTCCCTAACATCTTGTAAATAACCCTAACCCCATGTCAACCCCATGTTATAACTCGTGCTTCAGAATCATACCCTCCGGAACAAATACCACGCACTCGGGTCGACACCATGGCACAAATACCGTTCTTCACTTAAAAAGATACAGTAGCTATACCGATAGAACCAGAGCTCACATCTGAATAAGCCCATGCCCATGTCAAGAAAGAATTTGTAAACAGTTCGCCAGCGCAGTCCCCGTCGTACCATCAGACTTCCTCACCTCCCACCACCTCCCAGAATTATCCAAGACGTCAAACGTATCCCCTTTTTTGAATGACAACTCCTCCGGCTGATTGCGAGTCGTTCGATAGTCATATAGCGCCTCAGCTCGCAATCCCACGCACCCCGCCTTCTGCAAAAAGGTAGCAGACGCGTCCATCAGATTGTTCACCATCCTCACTTCCCACCAATCATCTTCGAGAAAGTCCGGTTCACCTCCTTTGATGGGAGACACCTTCCCATCCCCATGCTGTATATCTATCGGACGCTCTGGGCTCCGACGAGTTGGGGATTTGGATTTGCGGACTCGGTGGTATCGCTGTACGAAGTTGGAGGGTACGATCCCAGTTGACCCATCCGCCGCTTCGACCTCCCACCATTTACCTGAGCTATCTATTATGTCAAATATGTCTCCTTTTTTGAAGGATAGTTCATTGGGATCATCGGGCGAGGCTTTATAGGCGTATAGCGCCTGTGCCTGCTTCACAGGCTAATGCCGCAAGGAAATTCAGATATTTGCCCCAAACGCTCGAAGAACACACACACACCTCTTCCGTGTCTGGGTTCGCGGGTCGAGGTGGACGGATGAGTGCCATTGGCCGGGATTCAGACCTTCCGGTGAGTTTGAAGATGGGATCGTCGTCGTCGTCCTTTATCAGATCTTGACCGGTAATATCCTTGAACAATTTCATTGCAGCGATTTGAGCTTTATCGATCAATTCAGCACCGGCAAGGCGGTTTTTCAGAGTCACGATAGTATGGGGAGGGGTGATAGAAGCGATCGAGATTCGGCCTAAAGAATTGTCGGCTGTGTTGAATTTCTCAAGGGATTCGACCTCTCCGTCTTCGTTGTACACTCGATAATACACTGATTGATTTACGAGTAAGTGAAGGTTGTCAAGTATTCAGTACCAAATCCACTCACGGTAGGGTTCATCCAATGGCTCATTAAATTCCGTCTTCTCACTCTCCGCAACGAGAAAGCTGCATACTCTACTCGCTTTCGCATCCGATGGATCGATGACGAGCGCCATAGGCTCATACTCGGATAAGCCAGGTCCAGAATCTCCAAAGACGGAAAGAAGGCTTGAGCCATCCATAGGAAATTGACTCGACAGAGAGGGAAATAGCTCGCTCTTCGCCACACCAGTGAAGCCCTCAACTTTTAGCACACATCGTGTAAAAGAGGCGACGGTATGAGGAGGCGTGATGGACTTGGCAGAGATACGGCCGAGATATCTGTTGTTTTTATACACGGATGTGACGGCCTCGATAGGGCCATCCGTGGTGTAGAGTCGATAATATACTGTTGTTCCAGAAGTATTGAGCGAAAGCCGATTGCTCGCGGAGACGAAAGGGTGGACGCACCGTAACGATTCAGATCAAGCGCCGGTTCTAACATGGCTACTTCGTTCCTCAAGGTAAAAGGCAAGAAGAAACGAAGAGATGTGGGCGTGGCTTGAGCGGCAATGCCACTTGGCTTAAATAAAGGATGGAAGGCTGTGCATCTCCCATGAGCGCTTAACGCAAACTGGCGCTCAAGATGAATCAGATTATCAGAGGACGCGCTCACACTTTGCTCACACTGGCGATGCATCACAACTTCCACCGGTTATCAGTTGGTAGAGGATGAAAAGCAGTCAGCCAACTTTTTATCGCAGCTGGGATGTTGGAAATATCTCGCATTTGATTTTCCCTCGAAGTCCTTCAGCTCGAGGCGCGAGTGATGTTCATATTCGTCACAATACCCCAATTGCAAAACGTACAGAGCACTTTCTTGAAATCACGATGATAATTCGTAGGTTCCCTGCGAGATCTTGCGCCTTGGAACTACGCCATCCCAGAGTCTGTTTTGCCCTCGTCCGAAGTCGAAGAGAGCCTCACGACAAACACGTCGGTGTGTAGCGATCTGATTCTGGTGGAGGGGAGTGGAATCCCTTTTTCAAAGTTTTTGTGCCAACCCAGCTCACACGCCAAGCAAGGGGTATCTTATCTTATCGTGACTGTAACCGAGACAAGGTTTGAAATGCACTGCCATGACTATTTGCATGCTTCCGTTGTTTCTTCCCAATCCCCCTCTTGTGAATAACTTAAAACCCATGTTATAAGTTGAATACCCTCCAAAACGAATACCACGCACTCGGGTCGAAATCAGTTGAACAAAATACCGTCCTTCACGTCACCAAAATGATGCGAAATATCACTTTAAAGGAAGCATTACTTCCCCAACCCCCAAGCTTTGTCAAGAAGAAAAACTATGATGTACATCAAGTCCTGGGCACCGGGACTTTTGGTAAAGTTATGGTACGTGACCGATCATATCATTCCCAAGGTTAAGCCCTGGACTCACACAATCTCGGTGAATGCACAGAGAGCAACTTGGCACGTACCACAAGACCAGATCGCCATCGCAGAGCGCGGGGCCGCCGCTGATCTCGGGAAGGATGCCGTACCCGTTGCGTTGAAGCGACACAAGTCCATCATGAAGTCGCGCTCTCCGTCCCCGACGCCCCTGAAGGAGAATGGAGATTCGGGCGTCGAGAAGGACGTAGCGCTGAAGGTCATACCGAAGAAGAAGGTGAAGGGGAACGAAGAGAGTGTATGGGGAGAGATGGAGGTGTTGAAGGGGTTGGACCATCCAAATATCGTGAGTTGGGATTGGTTGTTCTACGTCTTCCTTACCAGGCTCAAAGTTTCACTCTAGGTTAAATTTTACGAATGGTTCGAATCTCGTTCCAAGTATTACCTGTCATTTGAGCTCGCCGTTGGAGGGGAGCTGTTCGAGCGGTTATTGCAGAAGGGGAAGTTTACTGAAAAGGATGCGGTTACTGTCGTCAGGTAGGCGTTTTGCCGCCTCAGTTCGAAACTCAACCTGATCATAGTTAGGTCAATATTGGCTGGAGTAAAGTACCTGCACGACCACGATATTGTTCACCGAGATCTGAAGTACGTCATTCTCCCAAGCTCATGTACGCCCCTAGATTGATGTTATCATTCCAGGCCGGAAAATATTCTCTATAGGACGAGGGCCACGGACAGTGATATTGTCATTGCAGATTTTGGCATGTGCGTCGGCTGTTGAAACTCATTTTTATCGCATCTGACACCAACTCTAGAGCCAAACACCTCCATTCCCCTGATGAGCAACTTCATTCCCTCGCAGGTAGTTTCGGTTACGTCGCACCCGAGGTTCTCAAGAAAGAGGGCCACGGAAAAGCTGTGGATTTGTGGTCTACGGGGTAAGCGCTTACTTGTCTTGTCATTTCACAATTCAACCTCCTGACGTCTCCCCTCCCAAAGCATAATCACATACGTGGTTCTTTGCGGATACTCCCCATTCCGATCCCAAGACGTCAAGGTCCTGATAAAAGAGACAACAGAAGCTAAAATCGAGTTTCATGATCGTTATTGGAAGAACGTCTCCTCACAAGGTGTGTTATATAGACCGCTTGTAACCCAAAATATGGTTTACCTCACCCCCTATCTTATACAGCGAAAAACTTCATTCTGGAGCTTCTCAACCCCGACTCTTCAAAACGGCTAACAGCCGCAGAAGCGCTAGAGCATCCAGTAAGCCCGCTTTCCACTCAACTTTTTGGAAAATAATAAAAGATCTCCCCAGTGGCTCACGACGCACGAAGCCTCAGTCGAACACGACCTCAGCGCCGGCCTGCGCCAGCACTTCGACCCGCGCGCTCGGTGGCGGACAGCTATTAATTCTGCAAGGGCCGTCAGCAGGTTCGGGAACCTCGGCAGGGCGGCTAGTAAACCTACCCCGGAGGGGTGGCAGGATGAGGATATATCGGATGAGGAGATTGGGCCGCCGAAGGCGGGGGTGGTGGTACCGGAGCCTGAGCATGAGGTGAATGAGCATGTTAGGGTGACGGCGCATGATGATCATGGGGTGGATGATGGTGATGGGAAGAGAGAGGGGTTGGTAATGCCTGAGGAAGAGCGGGTGAAGGAACCTTTCTTGGAGCGACGGGTTCCTTCTTATAACCTTGAGAATTGGGGTCCTGAAGCTTTTGTTCGGGAGGTTCCCACTACACCCGTTGAACAGTCCCCGCCTCGTTCACCCGTCAAAGAAAAGGTTTCTCCTTCCGTTGAAGAGCAAATTATCCCGCAGCAGCAGCAAGACGACAGGACAAACGTTTGGGGCAGGCCGGAAGTGCCAGTGGTAGAGGAGCCAGAGTCAACTCTCAAACCAGGGGAAGAAGAGGCGGCGGCGCAGGAGGAGGAGCTCAAGATACCTGGGTCGTTCGACATGTCGGAGGAGGCGGAACCACCACCGCAACAACAACAACAACGGTCGTGGATAGATATGTTGAGACACTTACACCTAAAACAGTGAGATGACGTTTTCTTTTAACTCTCAGGCGTACCCTTAGTTCCGTTTTCGTGTTCCTGTCCCCATAGCTATGTTTTGGCGACGTCAATATTCGTCACGTCGGCTTGGATGTTGGGTTCATAGAGAGAGAATTGGGATGAGCTTTCTTCTTCTTTGGTTTGATTTGAGTTTTTGGGTGGCATGTATGTAGTATATATCTGCTGGGTCGTTCTTATTTACCTATTCATTTAATTCCCCCCCACATCGATGGACAGAGGTGGGTTCGTTGTCGTTGACTAACATTGTGCTTTCCTTTCAACTTTCTTTCTTACACCCGAGTACGCCTCATGGTACTCATGGTTCAGTCTGTCGTTTTTGTCGCCCATCGCTATATATATACGCACACGCCTGTACTTAAGGACTGTAGCAAATAATTGAAACGACATGCACTCTTAACTTCGTTCACCAGGATGTCGAGGCGGCGAGCATGCTCCTTGAAAGGATATTCAAGATCATGCGGCGTGGCTGAGGTATCCCAACAATACACACAGGCTGGCGCCGTCAGGTGTAAGACTAAGAGCGCTGCGATACTCGGAAAACCAAGTATGACGTCATTCTGCATCCTTTCCAGCCAGATGATCAAATGGCGTCTGATAACTTTCCGAATGTCACGGAGACATTCGTTTACCTTCTAGATCCTTTCATCCATAGACTCCGTTACACCTCTCAAATAGTATTCACCCACAAACTAATCTTCTACATTGATAGAAAAATGATCATTAAGTGCGCACGCCAGTACTAGTACTCGGTGGAAGTCCACCGATAACGTTCACGCACAATTGACATTCGCCTCAAGGCCGAATTCAAAATGTTCCGATGTGCAGCAAAAAGTTGTCAATTGTGCAGCCAGCATGCGCGCTTAAATATGAGCGTTCTTCGGATGAGGCTTCTATCAAAGACGCCATATTCGGAGGTGTGGACCAGCATCCTGATCGAACAGCCATCCAGATTCCACCGCTCCCAGATTGGCAAGTAGCACTCAGTGCCAACCTGTATATTCTAGGTGTGTCCGTTTCCGTTCAATCTGTCATGTCCTTCTCTTTGTCGTGATTTGGTTCCCATTCTTGTGTACTTTTCGTCTTCCGAAAATGTATTTTCGGAACGATACCGAAAAGTGAAGTGTGTGCCCGAATTTCGTCAGAGATTATTCAACACCATACAGAAACGCTAGGGCAGGATTCCCTATTTTCATATACTCGCTGACAGAAGAGAAGTTGGACAATATATTATCATGAGCGACCACAAAATGGTGGACAATCCCGACCTAAATGTTTAGAGGAGGATTAGACCCAGTTTATCCATATGACGATGAGGGCTCGAAGAAAGGAAGATAGCAATGTGCGTGAACTTAAGAAGTAAATGAAGGCTTGGGTGGAATAGGGAAGATGGAGAAAGAGAAGGCGAGCGCCAAACGAATGAAGGTCGGAGGAGAGAGAAAACCATCCATAACGTAACATGTGGCGGCGACTGGTTTGCCTCCAGATACGCTTGGCAGGAAGCGTTAGCGTCAGGGCCAGGCGGGGTCCGTGTTCCGTCTTTTTCGGCTCTCCATCTACTGTGGGCGGCGACATGCTTCCCAAGACAATCCCGATACAGAAAATCCTCTCATGATCTGATTCTGCGCGGAGACTCGACCTGGCCTGAGGAGCTGTTTTCGAGTTGGTGAGATGATCTAAACGTCAGTGATGCTCAAAGTGCAACATAGAAAGGAGACGGGAACGAGAGGAAGGAGAAAACAGGATTAGGGAATTCTAGAGCTCATCACTAAAGTCTATAACGGGAGGAAGAACGTGAGGTAACAAGCGAAGGCGGATGAACCACATACCAGATACGTAGACTCTAACCTCCGCCAAGTTACCTCATAGGTCCTGATCAGGAACCAGTGTCTCCCTCGAGTCCCAGATCCAAAATGTCGCATAGTTCGAATGAGTATAAACCTAAGCTCTACAGCAGGTGTGGACGACAAAAAGGCGACTGCCCCCTAGGGACGAGTTGCTTGGACCTATCGCCGTGATGCGCTCGGAGATCGATGACAGGCTAAGGAGTAGATAGACGACTGATTAGAAGGGAGTGATAGGCCAAGAGAAGAAAAAAGACACGACCGCCGCCATGGCCAGTGAAGGTCTCACGCATTCGTTCGTTGCCCAGGTATGCGGCAGGTTGGGAGCGATATAGGCGCGAATAGCTTTCATTACCGATGGCGTCAATACCGAGTTCCTGGGGGCGGATTGGGGCAGCGAACGGACGGCTAAGAGGAAGGTTACACACCATGATTCTGTACGAGTAATGACTTTCTGGATGAACGATGACTTGGAACTTGGTGATGTGTTGGAGTTTCGCGTCCTTCACCGACAAAGATAACAAAGAGCTGGAGGAAGGACGTAGGGCTGGGACAGGAAAGGGGAAACCTACGATGAATTCTAGGTTAGAGGAAGGAATAGTGTGGGAAGTCTACATGTTCCACACTCGGACCCAACTCCGACCGACCTCGTTTTGATATGCGAGATCTATCGTGGTATGAAACATTTCCAGTTGACAGGAGTCGTGCTGCAGGCGTCCGGTGGTCTGTGTGGCACACTCCCATGACGTTGCCGTGCCTAAAGCCGGTGTGCTCAATCTTGATAACAGTAACACCGCCATATTCAATGTACAGAGTTCATTTGTGGACGCCAAATCTCGATCGTGCTGTGGAAAGTCGGGACAAAGTTTCCGTGTTAACATGAAGGCTGTACGCCAAGCGGGTCATCTCTTTTTCTCTCTTTATACGACCTTCAACTCAGCCGCCAACTTCCACTCAACCTCTTTCTTGATCAACAAGCTTCAATCAACCTCTACAACAGCTCGTCACCATGCCAAAGTCAAACGAAACAGATGCGCCTTCCATCCAAGAGCTAGGTTCTCATATCGTGGTAGCTCGCGTTCGTATCAGAATTAGGGGATATCTTTTGTGGTTGTTAACAATACTTATATAGACCCCAGGTGGAGAAAGTGACTTTACCGAAGCCGGTGCACAGGAGAGCCCTCAACAAGTATGACTTTAACAACATTCAATGCATTGTGATAGGCTACTAATGAAGAGTAGGTCACAGATATTGGCCCAGCTGAATGCACAACAGACACTGATAGGAACACCATCACTACTGATGTAAGTAAATGATGCCATTTCCAAGATAGTTATTATAATGACCTATCCTGCAGGAGTTTACTAACAATGGCAAGAACAATGTGTCTGAAATGAGTCAGCAAAGTGATCTTGATGAGGCCATTTCTCTGCATAGGCAAACTCTTGAGCTCCAACTTCCACCCCATCCTGATCGATCCAGCTCTCTCAACAATCTTGCTTCTGCACTGTGGACCCGATTTGAGAAAGGAGGTCAGCAAAGTGATCTTGATGAAGCCATTTCTCGGCACAGGCAAGCTCTTGAGCTCCAACTTCCACCTCATCCCCTTCGATCCAACTTACTTAACAATCTTGGAAATGCACTGCTGCTTCGATTTGAGAATGGAGGTGAGCAAAGTGATCTTGATGAGGCCATTTCTCTGCACAGGCAAACTCTTGAGCTCCGACTTCCACCTCATCCCCTTCGATCCAGCTCACTTGACAATCTTGCTTGTGCACTGTTGCTTCGATTTGAGAATGGAGGTGAGCAAAGTGATCTTGATGAGGCCATTTCTCTGCACAGGCAAACTCTTGAGCTCCGACTTCCACCTCATCCCCTTCGATCCAGCTCACTTGACAATCTTGCTTGTGCACTGCAGACTCAATTTAAGAAAGGAGGTCAGCAAAGTGATCTTGATGAAGCCATTTCTCTGCACAGGCAAGCTCTTGAGCTCCGACTTCCACCTCATCCCCTTCGATCCAACTTACTCAACAATCTTGGAAATGCACTGCTGCTTCGATTTGAGAATGGAGGTGAGCAAAGTGATCTTGATGAGGCCATTTCTCTGCACAGGCAAACTCTTGAGCTCCGACTTCCACCTCATCCCCTTCGATCCAGCTCACTTGACAATCTTGCTTGTGCACTGCAGACTCAATTTAAGAAAGGAGGTCAGCAAAGTGATCTTGATGAAGCCATTTCTCTGCACAGGCAAGCTCTTGAGCTCCGACTTCCACCCCATCCTGAACGATCCAGCTCACTCAACAATCTTGCAAATGCACTGCAGAGTCAATTTGAGAAAGGAGGTCAGCAAAGTGATCTTGATGAAGCCATTTCTCTGCACAGGCAAGCTCTTGAGCTCCGACTTCCACCTCATCCCCTTCAATCCACCTCACTCAACAATCTTGCAAATGCACTGTTGCTTCAATTTGAGAAAGGAGGTCAGCAAAGTGATCTTGATGAAGCCATTTCTCTGCACAGGCAAGCTCTTGAGCTCCAACTTCCACCCCATCCCCTTCGATCCAGCTCACTCAACAATCTTGCAAATGCACTGCAGACTCAATTTAAGAAAGGAGGTCAGCAAAGTGATCTTGATGAAGCCATTTCTCTGCACAGGCAAGCTCTTGAGCTCCAACTTCCACCCCATCCTCAACGATCCAGCTCACTCAACAATCTTGCAAATGCACTGTTGACTCAATTTGAGAAAGGAGGTCAACAAAGTGATCTTGATGAAGCCATTTCTCTGCACAGGCAAGCTCTTGAGCTCCGACTTCCACCCCATCCTGAACGATCCAGCTCACTCAACAATCTTGCCTCTGCACTGTTGACTCCAATTTGAGAAAGGAGGTCAGCAAAGTGATCTTGATGAAGCCATTTCTCTGCACAGGCAAGCTCTTGAGCTCCAACTTCCACCCCATCCCTGACAATCCAGCTCACTCAACAATCTTGCAAATGCACTGTTGACTCAATTTGAGAAAGGAGGTCAACAAAGTGATCTTGATGAAGCCATTTCTCTGCACAGGCAAGCTCTTGAGCTCCGACTTCCACCCCATCCGAACGATCCAGCTCACTCAACAATCTTGCAAATGCACTGTTGACTCAATTTCAGAAAGGAGGTCAGCAAAGTGATCTTGATGAAGCCATTTCTCTGCACAGGCAAGCTCTTGAGCTCCAACTTCCACCCCATCCTGATCGATCCAGCTCACTCAACAATCTTGCAAATGCACTGTTGATCAATTTGAGAAAGGAGGTCAGCAAAGTGATCTTGATGAAGCCATTTCTCTGCACAGGCAAGCTCTTGAGCTCCAACTTCCACCCCATCCTCTTCAATCCAGCTCACTCAACAATCTTGCAAATGCACTGCAGACTAATTTGAGAAAGGATGTCAGCAAAGTGATCTTGATGAAGCCATTTCTCTGCACAGGCAAGCTCTTGAGCTCCGACTTCCACCCCATTCCCTTCAATCCAGCTCACTCAACAATCTTGCAAATGCACTGTTGACCCAATTTGAGAAAGGAGGTCAGCAAAGTGATCTTGATGAAGCCATTTCTCTGCACAGGCAAGCTCTTGAGCTCCAACTTCCACCCCATCCCCTTCGATCCAACTCACTCAACAATCTTGCAAATGCACTGTAGAGTCAATTTAAGAAAGGAGGTCAACAAAGTGATCTTGATGAAGCCATTTCTCTGCACAGGCAAGCTCTTGAGCTCCGACTTCCACCTCATCCCCTTCAATCCACCTCACTCAACAATCTTGCAAATGCACTGTTGACTCAATTTAAGCAAGGAGGTCAGCAAAGTGATCTTGATGAAGCCATTTCTCTGCACAGGCAAGCTCTTGAGCTCCAACTTCCATCCTCATCCCAATCAATCCAGCTCACTCAACAATCTTGCAAATGCACTGTTGACTCAATTTGAGCAAGGAGGTCAGCAAAGTGATCTTGATGAAGCCATTTCTCTGCACAGGCAAGCTCTTGAGCTCCAACTTCCAACCCATCCCCTTCGATCCAGCTCACTCAACAATCTTGCAAATGCACTGCAGACCCAATTTGAGAAAGGAGGTCAGCAAAGTGATCTTGATGAAGCCATTTCTCTGCATAGACAAGCTCTTGAGCTTCGACTTTCACCTCATCCCCTTCAATCCACCTCACTCAACAATCTTGCAAATGCACTGTTGACTCAATTTGAAAAAGGAGGTCAGCAAAGTGATCTTGATGAAGCCATTTCTCTGCACAGGCAAGCTCTTGAGCTCCGATGTCCACCTCATCCCCTTCAATCTGACCTCACTCAACAATCTTGCAAATGCACTATTGACTCAATTTGAGAAAGGAGGTCAGCAAAATGATCTTGATGAAGTCATTTCTCTGCACAGGCAAGCTCTTGAGCTCCGACTTCCACCTCATCCCCTTCAATCCAGCTCACTCAACAATCTTGCAAATGCACTATTGACTCAATTTGAGAAAGGAGGTCAGCAAAGTGATCTTGATGAAGCCATTTCTCTGCTCAGGCAAGCTCTTGAGCTCCGACTTTCTACCCCATCCCCTTCGATCTGACTCACTCAACAATCTTGCAAATGCACTGTTGACTCAATTTAAGCAAGGAGGTCAGCAAAGTGATCTTGATGAAGCCATTTCTCTGCACAGGCAATCTCTTGAGCTCCGATGTCCACCTCATCCCCTTCAATCCACCTCACTCAACAATCTTGCAAATGCACTATTGACTCAATTTGAGAAAGGAGGTCAGCAAAATGATCTTGATGAAGTCATTTCTCTGCACAGGCAAGCTCTTGAGCTCCAACTTCTACCCCATCCCCTTCGATCTGACTCACTAAACAATCTTGCAAATGCAATGTTGACTAAATTTGAGCAAGGAGGTCAGCAAAGTGATCTTGATGAAGCAATGTCCCTATTCCTCACTGCTACTGAATACCCCTTCCAATCTCCCTCTAAGCGCCTCCACATTGCAAGAAGATGGATACATTTTGCAGAGAGAAATCAACATAGCTCTGCAATTGATGCTTATGAAGCTTCCATACAGGCTTTACCACAGGTGGCTGCTCTGAGCTTGGATGTAGCATCACGACAGCATGCCATGACTGCAGGTAGTGATGGCTTAGCTCGGGATGCAGCTAGATGTGCTATTCGCTCTGGACATTTTGACAAAGCCATTGAACTTCTAGAAGCAGGACGAAGTATCTTCTGGTCACAGGTCCTATCTCTCCGCTCACCCTTTGATCAGCTCTACAAGATTGCACCGGAATTGGCAGATAAACTACGAAATATTGCAACTCAGCTGGAGATTGGATCTCATCGTGATGTTTTTTCTGACATTTTGGACAACA